AGGAAAAAAATCTTCCCTGTGGACCTGCCTTAATCCCTGGGATTTCCAGTCAAGGTCAAAGACAGGACTGAAGCACCATTCCGAGCCTGCAGTGAGGGTGCTGCTTCCTGAGTTTAATCTGGCACCCTTGTCATTCCACAGCCTCTCAGTTGTAGAGTTCTAAAATGCAGGAAGATGTATGGCTTTCCTCTCAGCAGTATGTGTGTGACACCTGCACTAACTACGAATGAACTTGGCTGTACTCTCTACCCACAGGTCTTGCAACTTAGACAAGAGCAAAGTCTAAAAACATCTACAACTCAGGGCCTTTATCTCTGATCTTTAAAATGAAACATGTACTGAGCCCTGTGGTACCTAGAATCAAATTCTTCTCTTTAAAAGTCACTAAGATGCCAGCCCTACTACCCCCGCAGTACCAACATAGTTCATTTTTTCTGCACTTTTTTCTTTTCTTTTTTTTTTTCTAACCGTCACTTGCTTTGAAACTGCATGTTTTGACTCACATGTATTTTCAGAAACAAGAAATTTTGCTTGCCTGAGGTGCTGCTTGGACCAGACTGTTTTCCATGACACTTTCCTGAAAGCACCCTACTAGAATTCCTCCTTTTGTGATGTTGGAGTGGCCACAGCTGGATTGAAAGGGAGCACACAACAAGCTAGCCTGGAAAGCTGACATAAAGAAAGCCAGAGCTCCTGATGACTCAGGTATTGATGTATTCCATCAGAATAAACTGCTATCTGATAAAATGGGCTCACTCCAGATACAGAAGAAAGAGCTTTTAATTCTACACGGCCTCTTTACTGGAGACAGAGACAACCAAGACCTGTGTGAAGTGCAGCCACATCTGCAGCGTGTCTAAGGTGCTGAGGAATGATCTGGAGCCAGGAGGAGCTCTGCCACCCTTGCAGACATGGAGGAAAACATGCCAGGGCATTCAGGAGCAACAGGAGAGTCTTGGCATCCCAGTTTTATGGGTTGTCCTTGTGTTATGACAGTGTCTTGATGGCATCTATTAGGAAACTGTCCTAAAAAGAGCCATGTGAAGGGATAGCCCTTGGGGTGGGCCAGTCAGAGGTCTGAACCTGACTTTCACCAGTTAGCATTTGGTTGACATAATAATCTTCAAAATTGTCATCTGTGTTAATTTTGAGAGCCAGTTGCCCTATACAACAGGCATTCCATTCTGCATGTTCCTAAGCTCCTATCTTGAAAGGTTTCTCATGGCACTGAGCACCACGCTCCACTTAAACAAGGCCTGGAAATATGTTCCCTGCTACTGGCATGAAATATTCAGTCTTAATATCCCTTCACATCACTTGAGACAAGAAGAGCAGAAACTCTCCATCTGCCTTCTCTGCAGTGTTCATTATTTTACATATTTCTTTTATATCCCCTGCTTCCTCCAAGGAGAGCTTTTCCTCGAAGGTTGGTTGTTCCTATCATTGTTTAATGCTGCCCTTTTAGAGACAAGATTACCCACTACACTCAGGGTTCCTGGGGGACCTGCCCCTCTAATTACATTTAATCACTATTTTCCCTCACATTCCCTATGGATTGCAGTACCTTCTTCAGTTTTTAGCAAGCTGAGCAAAGGTTTTCGATGGAAATTGAAAGCTCGTGGTACCAGGATCCTGTAAGCAAAGACCTTCTAAAACACTATGACATCTCAAGGAAGGAGGTCAGGTATTCCTAGAGATGACGCAACTTTTACAACAGTTGACTGCTGGTTCTGCTATTAAACAGTAATAAGCATTTCCTTGGTTTTTTTTAATGTCTCTTGTATCTGAGAAAACATTGAGCTACTTTGTTCTTTTCACTGTTTATTTTCTACAGCACAAAACTCACTGTTTCCCATTTCTTTTCCAGGAAGACTCCACTGAAGACTCCTGAGCTGGCATGAGTGTAGGAAAAAACCCTGTCATATTTCTGTTGTTTTATAAGAATGCCAGTTTAACTCACATAGATGAAAAAGCAGCAGTAGAAAGATTTTTCTGGCTAAAGCTACTTGGGGCTGGAGTTTTTCCCTGGAAGAGCCTTTGTGGAACTGTCCTGTGTGCCCAGGGTAAGGGTGTTTGTTGGGCTGAGTCACGCTGCCCTGCAGAGCTGACGTGGCCCTTGGCAATCAGTAGGAAGCCCAGATAACTGAAATGCTCCCATAAAAGCAGACTTTGTGGACACAAGCTGTATGTGAGGAGGTAGACTGACAACAGATCAAGTGAACTATGCTTGACTGACTCACAATTTCCTCACCTCACCAGCTCTGCTGCCTGTTCTTACCCACAGAGTGATCCAGACTGCCAACACCACAGTTCACAAGCCCAGCCACGCCACGTGCCTTGGGGAGATTTGCTATGCTTTAAAGCAGCCTTTCTTCCCAAAGTCTCCAGAAATCACCCACTGAGCCTCCTGCAGTCGGCAGGAGAGGAGGTTTCTCAGGCTGGACTGGCGTTGTCACTGCCACCACGGGGTTTAGCAGAAAGGTGACAGTCAGAAAAGGAAGCAGCAGGAGGCAGCCTCATGGCTGTCATCCTTTCCTTCTGATCCACAAAGATGATGCAGCTCTAGTTTATTTTTCCCAAGGGGAACAGAGGGCTTTGCTGTTAATACAAAATGCAGCAGAACAGTAACAACATTTAGCTCAGAGATAATGTCAATAAGGTAGAAAATCAAACAGTTTGTTACTTTCCCTACGTGAGCAGATAACATGACTCTTATCATTGCAACTGGAAAACATTACAGTCATGAGAGGGTGCATGGCTCAAATGTCACTTTGAGGGTATGGCTTTCCCCTGCATCTCTGACACAATTAATTACTGGCTTTGAAAGTACCTCTCTGGTGCAAGAGAAACACAGACCCGAAGTTTTCTGGGCTTCCTGGGCAAATGTCAGCTGAGGGGTAAGCCAGCTCTACATAAAGGTCATTTTATGCTAAGCAACTGATGCAAAATTTCTTCTTAAAGCTGCTCTGACCAATTCACTGAGATGAACCCAGTGGGACAGCTCCCTGACTCAGTGAAGATGCTGCAAGAACAGTGTTGTGAACCTCAGCAGCTGAGCACTGAGGTCAGTCCTGCACAGCTGGACTTGGCTCTGGCTCAGTTTGCTGACCAGGACTGGACACATTTCAGCAGTGAGTGGATCAACCCATGATTCATACAAGGGAGGCATGGAAAATTGTATCTATGCTGCAGGACTCACCTTCAGCCTCAGGCTGACTCATAGGGCTAAAGAGGGGAAAATTGGTTTACCACTAATCTTGTAGGAAGGGCTTTCCTCTCAAAACCAGTGTCTGTAGTTAATAATCACATACAGCTGCTTCTCTGCTGGGGATTCCCTTTCCTTTTGCCTTCTACTCTCTTCCCATCCCCTCCCATCTGTTTCTTTGCTAGTGGAAAGAGGTTATATAGATACTCTCAGGTCCAATTCCAGAAGGTCAGACTACTCAAAGCAAACTGTGAACTCTGGGCAAATCCAAACTTTCCAGCTCAATTGTGAGTGGTTGCAGGAGCCATGGAGACACTCCCAGCCAGCTGGCAGCAATGCTGAGGCAGGAATGCCATCCTCAACCCACACAGCCAAGGATTTTTTTCTGGCCCAAGAGCAAGTAACAGAAAGCAGAACCCTGGGGAGGACAGGGCTAACACCACCTCCCTCCTACAGCCTCTACAATTTCCTCACCTTTATCCATGTGACTAAATTTTGCAAGCTCAGTCCTTCTGCCGTCTGGATCAATACGCAGCAATCAGTTTTACATTATGTTCATGATCTCTTTGCTCACTTTATTGCTGCCGTGTCGTATTTTAGAGATTAGGAGTCAGGCAGACTCCAACTATTGTGACCCCCAGGGGGAAAAAACCCCAGAAAAACCCCAAGCCACCATGTTTTGCGCAAGAGGAGCGTCTGAGCACATCGGAGGCTGCAAGGCACAAAGAGATTTCTTTGCTGTGTAGGGGAAAATATACTATGAATATATTGTGAGTGACATTTACAGGTTGCTGGAGGGAAATCCCCACTGGCTTCCTAACAAGCATTTAATATTTAACATAGTTGTGTTTTTTGACTGCTCTTGCTGTTCTAGCTTCCTATGAAGCCTGTTCGAGCTGTGCTAATATTAACTACATTTAGCCAAGGATGGAATTCTGAAGCATGAGAAGATATATTTTTATTTTCCAAAGCATGTCTATGAAAGGTATAATGGATGGTCACTGACACTGAAGCCCACGGTTATGAAGTAATAATAATATCAAACTAGTCTGTCTTTCTGGTAGTGTCACATTTTTGCTCTTTAAACTCAACTTTATAAAGGGTGAGCATCGGTCAGGACATACACATCTCTCAAGGAAGTCATCAAGGAGTTCCTGACCCTGGTGATACTTATTTGGGATTTACTGGCTGAGTCCACAGAACAAATTGTACCGAACCAGCCTCTGCCAACCTTGACCACCAAGGAGAAAACAACATCTTCAGCCCAGTCTGTCTGGGCCAGCACCAGATACAAACACGAGTTAGTGAGCTGCAAACCCAGGCGTGAACCCGTGTAACCCATGGATTTCCACACTCGTGCCCATAGCCACACGCTTATGCTATTAAATACAGCCGGAATCGCTGCTGCTAATAATCAGAGTTTCCCTGTGTTTTCTTGACTGGCACAGCGCTACGGCCGAGAATTTAAGCCTGTTTAAGGCACGATCAGGCACGAGGCTGCTACTGCTTCAGTGCGACCCAACGCGCCCCTCTATTCCAGCAGCCTCTGTGGCCTGAGGAAGAACTGCAGCTTAAAATATAAATCTGACTCAAACCGGCTGCGGAGCGCCCGTGGGGGGTTCGGTGACGAGGGCTCCCAAATGCCGGCACCGCGGGCCCCCACGGGACCGGCACCGCAACCCCACGGCGGGCGGCAGGCAGCGCAGCCCCTTCCGCCGGCCTCGGCCGCGGCTCCTCCCCCGGGCGGTGGCAGAGGCGGGGCCTGGTTCCTCCCGCCGCCGCCGCCCGGGCCCTTCCTGCGCCGCCCTGCGCGGGGGCACCGACGTGTCGCGGCGGAGGAGCCGCGCTAGGCCGCGCATCCCGCTCGGCGCCCCAGGTACAGCGTGGGGGGCCCGCCCGCCGCCGGCCCCGCCGCCTCCCGCCCCCGCCCGCCGCCGGGGCTCCCCGGGGAGCGGCCGGGAAAGTTTAATTTCCCCGGGTGCCCTTTGTGTGGGCGGCCCGGGCGGCCTGGGCCGGGCGGCGGAGCGGAGGGACGCGAGGGGAGGTGGGCGGGGGGGCTGCCCGCGGCCCGCTTTCCTTCCTTCCTTCGTTCCCTCCCTGCAATTCCCCGTTCCGAATTTCCATGGTAACCCCCGGTGGGCAGCGGGCGGTGCCCGGCGGGAGGCGCGGGGAGGGCGCGGAGGTGTCGGCGGGAGGCCGGGCCTCCCTCATGCGGTCACTGTCCCGCAGGTCCCGGCAGCATTCCCGACCATGCCACGGGGAGAGATATGACGACGGCCTCCGGGAGATACTCCTGGCGTGTTCTCCATAAGGTATGGCCGGCTCGGGAGCTAACGCTTCGAGCAAGTATTCAGTGTTGGCGCATGGCAGCCAGGAGAGACTGGGATGTGGAGCACTAAAAGGGCTGGTTTGGTTCCATAAGCCGTGTAGGAAGGCGATGGTTCCTGGGTTTGTAGATGATCGTAAAATTGTGTGTTGGGGAGATTAATTTCTTGCATTTCTTTACTGTAATTTTTCAAAGACGGTATGTGATGTTGAGAGAAGTACACATATAGGGGTATAAAATACCAACCTTCTGCAATCCCAGCAGAAGCTTTCCCCTTCTGACTGCCCAGTTTAGGCCTTAGTATGTCGCTAAGTCCCTTTTTCTTCTCCGTTATTCTTGTACTCTCTAAATACTTAGGATTTCTGTTGCAGGACATAGAGTTATCACAATCCAGCGTAAAAAAATATAGAATGCCTGTTTTAAAGTTCATCAAAGTAATTACTGGGCTACAGATTTGTTTTTTTGTTGTTTTGTTTTGGGGGTTTTTTTTGAGTTCCTATCATAGGTGGTGTATTGACTTTCCTGTCTTACCTGTACTGATGAAGTCCTGAATGAGAAGTCCTGTGGACTTGTGTGGCTGTTGCTGTGCAACCCTGCTAGAAATTGCTCTCTTACTCAAAAACCCAAGTGCAGTGTGTTAATTGTTGTAGTGGCTGCAGTAATTACTGTTGTGACATGAGAGTGAGTGTGACTCTTTGACACACTCCAGTGCAGACAAAAGGCCTTGAAATGCTTTGGGCATTAGGTTGGTGTATCTGTTGGGTAGAACAGTGCCCAAAATGGACTGACAGACAGGAGATCCACGGCTGTTCACGAAAAAGTCACTGGGCAGCCTCACCAGTGAGGCCAGGAGGTTGCACAATGAGAAGCATCTCTACCTCTCCTATCCCATTTGCCAGTAACAAGATCTCTCCCAAGTGTCCCACTGTCTTCAGCACCATCTTTCTCTCTAGTGGGAGTCTGGCATGTGTGCAGGAATCTTGCCTTGTTGACGAGCACAAACTTCATGGGAGGAGAAGGAGGTGCACATTTCCAGTGTTGAACAGAGATATTGTTTGCCTGGAAAATGTCAGGCACTGCTAGAAATGAGTGGAGAAAGCTGAGTGCAGGCTTCTCTTTGGCAGTTTGAGCAGGAAGAGGTTGGGAAATGGAATCATGATCATGTAGGTGTTGTTTCTTCTTTTGGGGCAGCAACTCTGTGAAGAAGCCACTTCTGCTTTCCTTCTCCAGAGTGTGGGGAAAATGAGGAGCTGTGAGCCTGAGGAAGAGAGAAGGCCCATAAACATCATATTGTCCTTCCAGCTGAGAAGCTCACAATTTTTCTTTGGTTACCTTTTTTTTTTTTTCCCTTCACACTTTGTTTATTCTTGTCTTGTTTTATGAATGTAGCAGAAAGAGTGAGCAAGTGAGCATGAGTGTGGATGTTCTATGCACATTTTTCTGGGGCCTCATATGAGTAAGTCCAAATCATATTTACCAGCAAATCTAGGATTTGTCTTAATATTTCTAGCTTTTTGCACCCACCTCACATAGGTGCTAGATTAAAAAAAAAAACAAAACAACAAAACTGAATATTCTCAGCAGAAGGTAAAGAATTGTTAACATGGCTCCTTCATACTCAAAACTGATAGGTCCATGTACTGATCAGGTGTTCCAAGTTACTCATACCTAATAGCTTGAATATCCCAGCTTTTTCTCTGTCAGTCTGGTTCTTAAATTTAAAAAAAAAAGGGTGCCCTTTTGGATGTGTGTGGGTGTGTGTTAGGGCTAGATTATTAGAATTGGGGTAGCATGTCTGGCACTTCGCAATATGTTGGAGAGTTCCCATCATTTTTATACAGTCACTGTAAGACTGTATACAGCAGTATGGGCTTTACACAGCAGTGTAAGACCTTCTTTTTGGTTTTGGCATTCCAGGTGTAGCATGACCATGCTGGGTTTTATGCTGTGGAATTATTTATTCTTTTTGTCAATGGAAACTGTTTAAGGGATAAAAAGGAAGTGATGTGAATAGAGGTGATCAGTTTTGTTTGATCTTCTGTTGAGCAGGCATTAATACCACAAGGATGTCAGCAAACATGGATGGCATGCTCTGTTGCTCACCAGGTTAAAGTTTGGATGTTCTTGTTTGCAGAGTACCTGCCCTGTAGAGTGACAGTGGACTGGCATCCTGTGTCAGGACTTGATGTGAGGTGCACTGGGCCTACTTTTTGATAGTCTGGCTGCAGCTTTATGCACAATGTCAAACTCTGGAGTCTTTTTATGTGGCTCCCTCATAGCCATTTCCAGTTCAGGGCTTGGATAAGGCTTTGGAACACATGATTCCCATGGAAATTCATATTTTTAGGGAGTTATTTTCTGATGGACAAGAGCCTGGTCCTGCTGAAGATGGCAAGTGGAGGGGCTGTACAGGGATCGTGCTGTTGACACAAATTGCCGTGAGCATCTTGGACTCCTTTTATACGTCAGGACCTCGGTGTTGGGATTTTTGCTGGGGCTGGTGCAGTTCTCCACATGTCACTGCTCTGCAGTCTCTACCTTTACCAGACTTGTGGCAGGAATGGCTGCTGGGGCTCCTTGGTCTTTGTTCAGCTGTGTGGACATCTCTGGAGCTCTGTAAGATGCTGGTATTTCACTGTTTGCCAAGGGGATAGTGCACACTGTAATGCTGATGCCTGGAAAAAAGGGTACAAAGAGACTTCATTCTCATCTTGTGTGATAGTGTGGGCAACTAACCACAAGGCCTTTTCTGACACATATTTTTACTGCTTTGATGATTGTTTCTGAACAATTCTGAACCTCTGGTGTGGAAGAACTGGGTGCATAATGACCTAAATAGCTGTAGGTAGGTCTGTTTCTCCAGCACAGAATCTGCCTTCTGATTTCAAATTAGCGTTCAGCATTGGGAGCTTGGTTTTCCAGCTGAGAGGAAGTACATTTGCTACAGTGGGTACATCACAAGTGTTTAGGATAATTGTTTATTTGGTACCTGAATGAAAGTGAAATGCTACTTTCCAGATAGTTTATCTAAAAGGAGATAAATTGCTTTCCAGTTTTTGACAAAATGTTTACACTTGTGGATTTTATTAAATAACAAGATGTTATTCAGTGATGGGACCTTTTGGGATAATTCTTTTCAGAGGATTTTATTCCTGTGTTTAAAGAAATGAAGCTCAGCTAAAGCTTTTTAAATTTTTTTTTAAATCTGCTGTTCATGTGGCTACAGCTGGGAAGGGCAAAAGAAACCAGTACAAAATGTGATAATATGAAAGTCAGATGTTGTTTTATCCTGGCCCTGTAGGCTACCCATGGTGCTTTGCAGTGGAGATGCAGCTGTTCTGTTCTTTCTTTGGAGTCACTACTGTTTTTTCTTTCTCTTTCCCTGTTTGAGGAGAGTGTTTTGAGATGTTCTTATGAAAGAGACAATTCAAGGGGAGGGTGGTGGCATTACTCTTTGGGCTATTCAAGAGTTTTTGCTTTTCCACAGCCCCTGTTCTGCACTTTGGTGGGAAAGCAGCACAGTCTGAGGAATTACAGAGTCTGCTGGAGCATAACAGCAAGTGTGGCTAAGCAGGCCTGATGGGAAATGCAGATAACTTGTACATGGCTTTCTTGTTGGGTTGATTTCATCCCAGCAAGGCTAACCTGGATGGTCATCAGTGATGCTAACTTTGCAGAGAGGGTACACCCTCAGTGTGAGAACATGAGACTGGGGATAATGTTGGGGTGTGCAGAATGCACTCAAATATGTGGAGATTTTTTGTGAATACAAATACAGTTATATTTATTAGGCTCTCAGAGAGGCCAGGCTCATGTGGCCTCCTCTCTAAGTTGTGTGAAGAGGTTTTATGTTGGAGTGTGCTCCAAATGCAGGTGGCCTGCCATGGGGACAAGTCACAGCTCTCCTCTGACTCTGGCCTCATCATTGCCCTGAGAGCCATCACCTTCCTCCCCTGAAACCCCAGGGTGGAAGTAGGGGCTCAGAAAGAGCTTGGCTTAGCAGAACAGCTCCCACAGCTTTAACCTCAGTCTCTGAAACTGCTTAAATGTTTCTGCTTCAAGCTAACCTTGGCTCCCCTGCTGCAGCAGGGGTGTCTGTCTCAGGGCACTGGGAGCAAGCATGGAAATTTCAGCCTGAGGAATTAGCTAGTTGCTAAAAAAAGTGAAAGCTTGCACTAGTGCAGTCTGGCTCACATTGTCTTACAAAGGTGCTGTGTGCTTGGCTGGTACCATGGTTTCCCTATTACAGGGTGAAATCCTGCTGATTTAGAGCTCTGTAGTAATACATAGGGAAAGCTCAACCTTTGAGGACAGAGTAAATATGTTAGGCCAATAACAGTATGCCATTTATTAGCTGTTGAGGTCCTGGAAGCAGTCCCTTGTGTATTTTTATCTTTTAGTTATATTTCAGGAATGCTTTTCTTTAATAAATATCTTTGGTATTTATCACATCTTCTAGAAATGGTGCAATATCTTGCTTCAAAATAGCTTCTTGCTATTTTGACTTGTGGGTGGCTTCTGATAGTTTTCTCTTCCAAAGCATGTTAGGTAGCCAGAAGAGTGCTTGAAATATTTTAATTTCACTCTGTTGTTGCCAAAGCCATGACAAGCAGCAGGAACTTTAGCATGCCATTTGTGTTCACAGAGAAACTTCTCCTGCCTTACCTTTGGGATGCAGAGCATACCCCTTGAAAAGTGCCTGCTGGTGTCCAGGTGTGGCTTGTTGTGGACAATGGGGAATGCTTGAAGGAAAGCTTGCTCAGTGTTGCATGTTCAGTTGGAACCCTGAGGGCTGAGTGTCTCTTCTTAGCTGTCACTATTTTTGAAGCTGAAATAAAATTTGGAGAGCGGAATCTATAAATGATATTGGAAAAGCAAAGCATGTGAATAATTACACTCAGAATATGGGAAGGCAGTTTCTGAAGAACTTCTGTACAAGTCCTGATACTTAGAAAAACAAGCACATTCTCCAGAGTTACAACCACCCTGTGCAATCACTTCTGAGTAATACACTTTGTTGTTGTTGTGCTCTCTTCCAAGAGCTGAAACCTCGGGTGTGAAACTCCAGAGTCACAGCGCAGTCATCTCAGAAATAGCCTCATGTGATTAATGCAGTGCTGCCTCACAGAGCTGCTCTTTGCTGACTCTGCAGTGCCAGGCCTGTGGCTCTTCTCTCCTCACCACAGTGTTTTGTTCATGCTGTGTTGTACAACTGTGCCATATTGTACTTCCTGAGCGTGTTACTGAACAAGAATGTGTTTAAAGAGGAGGCTGTAAGTTGAAATACAACTCCTTGTGTGCTCAGACTTTAGGAATACTGTCAGTTCAGATAATCAAAGCTATTTTTGTTGTTGCCGTGGCTGATTTGGTTTAACTTCAGTGGTATTAAGTCATTACAGTGACAGTGTAATTTAATATAATATTTTTAAATAAGGAAATTAATACAGTGTGTACAAAACAGATGTAATATATTGAAGGCATGTTGCAAGTCGAGCCATAATCCTGGGTTCCAGGCTCCATCACTACTTTTGTGTCTAACCTCTAAACGTTTTCTTAATTGCATTAGTTTAATATACATTGCTAGACAAAATGTGAGTAAATTATGGTGATTACTAGCAAGAACACAGTTGATCTAACCCATTTTAATTGTATATAATTTAAACACTGATGTCATGAAGTTACCCAGTTGCATATTTTTACTACAGCCATATGTTCTTCTAAGTAAGAGACTCGGGGACTCACCATTTCATAATTGACTCTGCACAGTTAATGCAGTTAACTGCATTTACCTGCCTGTCATTTTGCACAGTTAGTGCAGTTAACTGCTTTTACCTGCCTTTCAGTTGCATGGAAAATAGAATGAGTTAAAATACTCTGCAGCAGTTTTGTTCTGTGTTAACACTGAGTTTCAGTTTTTTTGGTATGTTTAAATCAGCAAATTTGTTTATTTTTGTGTGTTTTAAAATGTTGATTTAGGGGCTAGTTATAGATTCATTTGTCTATAAAATGTTTAGTCGTGGAGCACAAGGAGCTGCTGTTTTGCTGGTGAACAAATTAAAGGTTTTCAATTATGGGTAAGGTTAGTGTACAGAGATGAGTGTAGGGCAGGATTTTTTGCCTTTATATGGGCTTGGCACATATTCCTTTGTAATGTGGATTTAATTCAGGTACTATTGCCCAGTTTTCTTTGTCTTTCTGAAGTTATACTTTGTTGGTCAATTTAAGGACTGCATTTTGAGCAATGCCTGGTTTTGGGCAGTACAGAGATGAGTTTTTTCCTGTATAAATGTGGTTGTTCATTGGGGTTAATTATCCATAAGGTCCTGACTTATGAAGGTACTAGAATAGCTGCTAGCTATGAATAATTTAGTACAGCATCAGATTGCGTGCCACTTCAGAAGGCCTCTGCCTATGAAGCCTTGTATCTTGTTGAAATCCACTCAACAGTATGAAGGTTACTGCTTGCACTGGTATTTTATTGTAGTCTTTCCTTTCTATTTTAAGATTTCTCATTAAATATTTCATGATGATAAGTAATGAAAATACCTGTGCAAGAGTAGGCCAAGCTTGTTTTTGAAATGCTGAGGTGTCGAGCTACTCTTCAGTCTTAACTTGTCTTTGAAATTTCTTTTAAATCTTTGGCTGGCATCACACAGATAGCATTTTCTCCACTCAGATTTATGTAGTTGAGACAATTTATATCCTAGACAATTCTTTGAGATGGTACTTCATTGTGGGGAAAGCAGAAATGCTTAATGAAAGGCTTGCAAGAGTTACAAGATTTCAGTGCTTTCTACAAATTGCTCGAGTTGCTCATACATCTGACTAGAGCAGACTGTGGCTCATATTACAGAGGCTTTTTCAGGAGGAAAAGTGCAAATACAGCACTTTGAAGCAGTTCCAAGTGCAGATAAATTTACTGTATGCCTTTAAGAGACTTGGTCATGGCAACATAGCACTGGATGTGTTTTTTAAGAATGCTAAAATAGGTGTTTTTTCATAATATACTAGATTTTTCACAAAACCACCCCAAACATTTGAGAAGACCTTAATTGAGAAGTTACTTTGGAAATGTCCAGGGAAGAACATTAGCAATAAAAGTAGTAGAGAAAAAGGTTTTTGTGGGGCTTTTGGGGGAGAGAGATTAATGCTTTATGATACTTAAGGAAGACCTGTCAGATGTCTGGAAAGGTTTTTTGTCTGAAGGCTTCTGACTGTTCCCATTCTCTGCTAGTAAGTTTTCCTTGCTATTGACCTCTTCATTGGGATGCTCTGTTATAGGTGAACATCTCTTTTAGAATTGTTTTGTAGGACACTTTTAACAAAGTAGAACCTGTTCCTTTTCTTTTCCAAATGAGATATGTAATATATGTGCTGCTGCTGGAAGCCAACAGGGTGAGATACAGCCATCCCTTGGTGCCTGCTTTAGCACTTGAAGATAAAATTGGCCTTTAATCTTTTTGTGCTCCTTCACAGGGTAGTGAGTGATTGAAGTGTCCATTAAGGGTTAGTAGTTAAATGCTAAGATCTTGCTAGATGTGTTTAATTTCTCCTTAAAGGTGAGGATCCAGACGAGTCCCTTTGAACAGGCACTCCTTGAGCTGTGCAGTTTTAATAAACTCTCAAACCCTAATAGTTGTGTGGTGTACTACTGTCTGATACTTTGATGGAAATGCAGTTTTGTTTACAGATGGAAAAAACTCAGTAAGTTCAGCCCTGGTGTAATATTTTTAAGGCTATTTATTTTCAAACTGCAATCTTAAAATTGAACTGAAAATTAGTGGGACTTTGCTTACTCTGGAGCTTTTTGATCTATGATTTGTCTTCTCTGCACTAATACATTGTGCTGGAATAAATTGTACTTTACTGGGCAGCCATAAAAGTTGAATTGTCAGTTTTTCTGATTCAGGTACAAGGTTTCCTGATATTTGAGAGGAAATTCTATTGTGAATGTATGCACTGTGGCTGCAATAGTTATGGCAAGTAAGGAAGAAGTGCCTGAGAGACTTTTTTTTTTTTTTTTCCCAAATGTAACATTTCCTGGGCACAGCAACAACAAACAGGCTATCCTCCAAACCTACAGGTGTGTGAAGAACAGACCATGAAGTTACATTCTGCCTTTTATTTTTGTGTTTAAAATAAACTTTCTCCTGTTGTTAAAATGTGTCAGTTGAAGTATTGCAGTTGAAAACACTACTGGAGTGTCATTGTTTTGATACAGTGTCTCTCCAGAGCTTTATTAAAGCCTTGATATCTGTTGTTTCCTCTTTAGCTTTTATCAAGTGGTGATTTTATGCAATGGCATCAAGCCACAGTTCCTCACCAGTGCCTCAGTCGAAGAGCAGCGATGCTTTCTGTAGAAAGGAAGCGGACGCCACGAAACGCTTTCGGCCTGTGCAGTCCCTGCCAGACGTGTGTCCCAAGGAGCCCACAGGTAATGCTGCTGTGCAGGCACAGGGACAGAGCAGCTCCATTTGCTGAGCCATTGCCAGCTATCCAGTAATATTTCTTGTATGCCGGGGTAGTGTACTAAGCCATAGTCTTCCAAGCATGCTGTGATTCTTTTTTATACCGCCCAGTGTCCCTTTGGAGCAATAGGAGAGACTATTTGCAGCTTGTTTTAAGGTGTCCCCATTATAGGAGGGACTTTGCTTGCATCATTCCACATTACAGCTATGGTCCATGCTCCATGTAAGCAGAGGGTGTAGTCTGACAGAGCTGGTAGCAGACGTGTCCAGTGTGCTTGGAGCCTGACTGCATTCCTTCTGGGAGACATCCCAGCCCTTCTGCAGGAAGAAGCAACTGACCTGCCTGTAGTACTGAGTCTCTGGTGCTGTTGTTAAACCAGATTTTGGTCATGGTTCCAGCTGTTGTGTTGCACTAAGGCTTAGTTTACACAAAGGAGTAGGTGGGATGGGATCTTAAAAATTATGACATATAATGCTAACGAATTGCAGCTCTCATTCTGATCAAGATCAGATTATTAGAAATATGTTTGTGGTTGGAATCTTTTTCTCTTCAGTAGAAACTAATGTTGAACAAAATCTGTTTAATGAGTGTCAATACACCACTTCTGTGTTCAAAACTTGAGTTGGTTAATCTCACAGAAGAAATGCAAAGTGAAATGTTGCAGGAGAATATCATCAGTCGTTTGCATAGATAATTCTAATCCGTATGTAATTGGTAAAATATGATTTGCTTAAGAGCCACATTTTAGCAAAAGCTTTCAGCTTTGTTTCTCACCCTAACAAACTGTCTTGTCTTTTGTGCTGCAGGCAATCCCAATAGCTTACATGACAGCCCATCTCTAGTTGTGGATCAGCAAAGATGGACTATTTATCATTCCAAAGTCAATCTCCCAGCAGCACTAAATGATCCTAGGTTAGCAAAAAGGGAATCTGATTTCTTTACAAAAACATGGGGAGTGGACTTTGTGGACACTGAAGTCACGCCTTCATTCTACCTCCCACAGATCACCAAGGAACATTTTGCATCATACCAACAGGAAATCACTCCGGTAAGAACCCCCAGTTAGGTGCACATAGTCCTAGGAACCAGAAAGAGAACCTTCTTCTAATTAGATTATCCTGGCTAGTAGCCCACTGTACAGTTAGTTGATAATTTATTTACTTTTTCAGTGTTGTTTGGGTCTTCATTAGACATTTCTGGTTTTATAATCTCCGAACCCATCGTGTGGAAAATGCTCTCTGAATTGTCCTGAGGCAATTTCATGTTATTTTTAACTTCTGAGTACCAAGCTCTGCACCAGGGCTTGCAGTTCATATTTATTCTTTCTGGTTGTTAATCCTTTTTTCCTGTAAGGATTGGGCTCTACAATGCAACATAGCATTCTCAGACCTTTGGATCAAATGACTACATGCTGCAAGGGTTGGGAATATTTTTAGGAGTCTTCAATCTAAACATTGAAACATTTATACATTAACTTCTCAGACTATAAAGAGGCCTATTGTCTTGGTGGTTTCTTTTGTAACAGGGAAGTGTAAGCTACACCTAAGGACACCAGGACCAGTAGGAGACTTCTGCAATCTCTTAAAAATACAAGTGTCAGTAAGTATGTAGTATTTTTTTTAACTGAAAGAACATGTAGAAGTCTCCTGCTGTTCTCTGCTTCCTTGGTTTGTAACTTCCTTATTTTTTTTTTTTGTTGGTTCAGAGTTAGCTGCAGGAAATGTTACTTGTGTAATTATAGTTAAAGACTGTAGAAGGGAATTGTTTATAAATGAACTGAAACTGAACTATTGCCTTTAACTCACATATTCAGCATTTAAAATGTTTTAAGATTTCATCCTTTAAAATTAGTACTTCATGCAGTGACTGCTAAATGAAGGAAGGTTTTGAAACTGGGACCTGAACTGTGATGTATCTTCTTGCAGAAATCTAGTTAACATTGGTGCTCTTTGGAAACATAGTTTATCACCACTATGGTCTCTGGTGGTGTTTCAAATTCGAAGCTCAGCATGATGAAACAAGATATGTGGTTTCAGCAAGGTACTCATTAGTAATATGTGCAAGTAATTTCTACTTCCATCCAATTTGATTTAGCAAGGAAAAAGGATTCTTTGTTAGTGTGATTCCTGGATTAGTCAGCAAATAAGTGTTTGTATATGTAATTACAGTTGATCTGTAATTGTATATCATTATGTGGAGAAGTTATTACACCTCTTCAATAATGTCTGTGTTCATTTTCTCTTGAGATGTAAAGATACAGGAAAAAAACAACACATCCACTGTCGGTAGAAGTTTTTAGTACCTTTCACCTGGACAAACTGTCTGAGCTTATAAGAGGAAGAAAATACTGTGAACTTGCCAGAATTATTTTGCATAATTTAATTGTGTTTCACTAAATGTTTTGCTTCAAATGAAAAAAATCTGGGTTTTAAGCATCAGAATAATTCTTTAATATATTTTCTCTTCTACAGAGAGAGAAGGTTCATGAAAGGTGCAAGAATATTTGTACTCCTAAAGATACCTTTGACAGGACACTATTACACACTCACGGTACAGTCAAAACCTCCTTTAGTCATTAAAAAGTGCTGTCTTTTTGTATCAGTATGTTATAACATCAGTAGCAAGTGTTATGAATGTTACTCATCATTGATTCTATAATGTGCTAATTGTCTCTGTTACTTGCTTGAGATCTTCATGTACAATAATAGCTGATGATTTCTTTGAAACAAGAATTAAAAACTCAGATGTGGTAGGCTGAGAGGTGTTCATGACCACTGCTGACATTTTGTAGGTCAGAATATTAATGATACCTGCTTTTAAACTTTTTCTTGGCATGTTTGGATTTGTGACAGGTCACTGTAGCCCTGGCAGTGTTTTCTTTAACTGCTTTTTATTAAAAGATCCATTGAAACTGGTGTGTCAAATTTGTATCACCTTGGCTTCTCAGTGAAGAACTGCAGTGCCATTCCTGTATCTCTGCCATGAGAGTCATATCATGGCTGAGGTGGGAAATTATAGCTCAAGGTGATGTAGTCTAGACCATCTGCTCAAGCCAGGGCTACCTATGGGAGGACAGTGTCCAGTTGGGTTGTGAATCTCACAGATGGAAGTGACACAATCTGTCTGGGCAACCTGTTTCAGTGTTTTGCCACCCCCACATTAAAATTCTTCCTTGTGTTCAAATGAAATCTTTCATGTATCAGTTTCTGCCCATTGCCTCCTGTCCTGGCACTGGGCACCACTGAGAAGAATCAGCTTTGTGTTCTTTGCACCTCCCCATCAGATCTTTAAGCACATTGACCTTCCCTGGGCTTTTCCAGTCTAAACAGTCTCTCCTCCTTTTTTCTTAATAATCTTTGTGGCTCTTGACATGATTCATTCCAGAATATTTAGGTCTGCCTTGTGCTGGGGGGCTCAAACCTGCACTTGAAGGCTGAATTTCAGGACTTCATGGAAGTGGTTCAACTAACAGGAAACTAGACAGGAAGGAAGGCAAGGGGCAAAATTAAAAAAGAAAAAATATACATAAAAGAAACACTCATAACTTGGAGGAAGTTTTTATTTTATATTTAAATTTACTTTCTCAAAAACATTAGCATAAAAGCGTTCATTTATCAATCTCTTTGAGTCTTATCTATGTCAATGTCTACAGGTAAAACAGCAAAAAAGATTCAGTAGTTTACTCCTTCTTATCAAGTTATTTCGGCTGACTTTCTTCCTCCTCTTCTGTGCAAAAGGAAGCCCTTCTGGGGGTTTCTCTCTATCGGTGTTACTTTGGAGTAGCTGTTGCAGAATGAGTCTGTCTGTGCTGCACACTGAGACATAAACTTTAAGGAATTTAGAGATTTTAGAGGAGCTAAGATTTTAGTTAGAGATAAGCTTTATTGGAGTTAATTAAAATAAGTGGGTAGGCCTTGATGAAGTTAGGAGTCAGTAGTTAACTAATAAGTGATTGCTTGTCAGCACAATGTTTGGTTAGCTGGGTTTATAATGAAGAATATAGAAACTGATAAATAGCTTTTAGAAACATAAGACAATTGTAGGCCTCCTCTGTTCTGAAACCAATTGAAGATGGGAATGGGAGTTCTATCAGTGGGTTCATTTGTCATATTTGCATTGAAAATGTAGAAAGGTCAGAACAAGGAAGACTTCATTTACTTCCTCATTTTGGGACCCCTCCTTGTGAAAGGGTCCACTGACCCATTTCAAGGGACAAACTACACATGCTTAATGGCTTTTGAACTAATTACCATACAGAGCAGGGAATGGGATGTACCAGAGTTATGAATATGCATTTGTGTTTTGGGTATTCAATACTTGTATAGATAAAAGGGCTCTGTAATCACCAGTAAATCACAGTGTGTATTTGGGAGCTATCCCCCATGCTGCCCAGAGTCACAATAAACACACACTTTCTGACTCTAAACTGTTAGAGAGTCTTTCTTTGTCACAGTTGGATATCGGTACTAGATCAATATCCATATTTTTTAAAATAAATCAATAGTGCAAAATCAAAGTGCCTTCTTCATCTTACCTAAATCCATCCTCAAAGAGTATGAGTGCGAGTTCTGTCCTCCCACAGATGAGTGTTTTTAAAAAGAGAAGGTTACAGGCACCAAAGTAACTGGGAGCTGCTTGTGTAGCTGGACAGTTCTTAGTAGAAGCATCATTTGGTAGACTGAAGCTTGTGATTTTCTATAAATTCTGCTGTTGCTGTTTCCTCTCTTCTTCTAACTCCATCCCACAAGACTTAGCCTTTCACTCCTGTAAGAATTGGTCTGTCCAAAGGCTGAGGACAGCAGGATGATTCCAAGGTTGCCTTCTGTACTTTGATACAAATAAAGTAAGAAACAAACGGAGTAAAAACCAAAGAGAGCAGTATGGGAGCTGATGCTGGGGTAGTGTTTGCCACCTTTGTCAGGGTTGAGCAGACTGTGCAGCACAGATATGGGCTTGTTGCTTTTAAATTCCTCAGCTTTTTTGTCCACCAGTGTGCCCCATCTTCATAATGCCCACTAAAGTAATGAGTAAGGGTGGGACAAGGGATTTTGGCTGAATCTCAAAAGTCTGAATTTGCTGTTTAAGTTTTGCTGGGATATAATGAATGAACTCTTTTCCCAGCTCAGTTTTCTCTACAATTTCTTCTACCCTCTACAATTGTCAGGTCAGCATACTCCATGGGAATTGGTGCTGCTGTGCTGCTTGGTCAGTGCTTGGGACTCTGGCCCTAGCCCTTGTTGGCAGTCTTTGTGCATCCAATCTCCAAGTGCCGTGCAAAAGTGATTATATGGGCAGCTTCAGTCTGAAGCATTAAAACTGGGATGATGTTAGAAGGACCTTTTACTGGCCCTTGCCAGTGCACTAATGAATGTGAAGTGCTAAGTGGATTGCTTTGTATGACAATCACTGACACTGCCAAAGCAGCCAAGTCAATCTCCCTTGAGTAGTCTGGGCATGAAACCTGAACTGCAAAGGACAAAAGAGTACTTCAAGGAATCAGAATATTTCAGGTTGGCAGGAACTTCAGAAGGATTTTACTGCAACTGCCATCTCAAAGCCAGCTCAGCTGTGAGGTCAGACCAAGCCATTCAAAGCTTTACCAAGAAAAATAGAAATATCCAGAAAATATCTCCAAATATATATCCAGAAAATCTCTGAAGTACCCAGCCCTTCTGGGCAGCCTGCTCCAATGCTTGACTGTCCTCATGTCATCAAGGTTCTCCTCATGTACAGAAAGTTTCATTTCAGTTTGTAAGCCTGTTCCCCCTCTGTGAGGAGCATGGGATCATTGTCTTGAAAACTTCCTCATGGGATTCACTTGTTCAAGGGAATTGTTTCCTGTTGTTTGCTCATGAATGACTACCTGTGTTTTGTTTCATTTTAGATAAATCCAGGACAGATCTGGAACAAGTACCTAAGGTATGGCTTCTGGGCACTTGGAGCTGTTGTAAGGCTTTCTCACATGAAGTGTTGAATATATGCATGTACTCTGTAGAAATTTTGTCCTCCCTGGTGACTTGGGTTGATTCTCAAGAGGATCTGTAGTGCTCAGAATTTCAAGACTAAGGATGATTTGCTTTGTCTTTTTTTTCCCTATTGTTTCCATGGTCTCAGTTTTTCTCTTAAAGTATAATACAACTACCATTATTTTTTCATCTTTAAATAAATGAAGTTAAGACCTCAGAGCTGAGCAGAATTAGCCAGTCTAGGAGGAAAGGAAAACTGAAGAATTTGAGAAAAGCTTGAATATTACCTGGTGTACAACTCGGCATTAGGTTTAACTACTTGGATCCTTGATTAGAGCTCACTTGCATGTAAGCATGGAGCATACATGATGTGAATTTTTGTGTCAGGTTGACACAAAAGGTACAGCTCCAGATTCCATTTTAGTCTGAATAATTTTTTTATAGGTGCAGTAAGAAGTCAGAGCATTAACATGGGTCAGCATCTCTGTGCCAGTTGTGTGGGCTCTGACTTGAGTAGCTGTCACTGCAGTGTTTAAAGTCCAGGAATAAGAATGCTTGAGTGTGGTGTGATGCTGCAGTCTGTGTTGAACCTTTTAAAATTACACTTCATAAATAAAAGGAGGAGAGTTTTCCTGCCTGCCTGTGAGCTCAGGGTTTTGTCAAGTATAAATAATGTTACCTGAGAGAATTTTAGATGAATAGTTCTCCAGGAGGTGTGGTTAATGTTATGTGTTACTGACTCTTCCTGTGCCCAGCACAGTTGCTACATCCTGCCTAAAGGATGTCAGGTTGAGGCTCTGCTCCCTCCCTTGCTGCACCCTGACAGCCAGCTGGATGATCAGCCTGGTGGGAGCTGTGGCCCCAGGAAGGAGCAGATAGCAGCAGGATGCCCTTGTTAGTGAAGAAGCTTTGCTCAGATCCTTGAGAGGTCCCACCTGCACTTCAAAGCTGCCTATGTTTGCACACTCGGGGTGTTTAGGTCATCTCAGGTGGTTGAATCCATATGTAATTTTGGAGCTGTGACTTGCCCTTTCAGAAGGATATGACTGTCAGATCACAGAAGCTTTTAAAGTACATTGGTTTGTAAGGTCTGGAATGAATTTGTTTGCCTGAATAAATGAAAATCTGGATTTTGAAATCAACAATTAAAGTCTCTGTTAGCTTAATGAGACAGGAGATATGTTTAACTGGGGCAAAAATATAGGGGTGAGTGAGGCACATTTATTTCTTTTGTTTTTCTGTTTCAGATTTTTATGAAACCAGATTTTGCCTTGGAAGATTCCTTAACATTTAATGCCGTTTTACCATGGTCTCATTTTAGTACCGCTGGTGGAAAAGGAAATCGTGATGCAGCTTCCTCCAAGTTACTTCAAGAAAAGGTACAACTTTGACACAAGTTATGGTTATCCATCAGTGCTGGTGGATACTGCAAAGGAACTCCATGGCTGCTGCTGTGTAGTGTTTCTTGAGACATCATTGTGGGCTTTGCTATCTCTCATTTTACATCAGGCTGCAGATTGTTAGGAAATCATGCAGGAAGCACCCTGCTGGAAGAGAGCTCTTTTTCCCTGCTCAGTAAATCTGTCAAATGTGGAAAAAAAGAATCTGTGTATGATGTAACAACTGGCTTTTCACGATAGCTGTGACTTACTGAAACAGCTGGATATGGAGAACTTCAGAGGCGTGGAGTAGTTTTCTTAGGGAGGAAGAGCAGTTCTGTGAGAAGGGAAAGCTGGATTGCACAGGTTGTACACTGTGTCAGACCTATTTTCCAACATCTCAGTGGTTTCTATGCTAAATCCTATGGTGTTTGTGTTTTAGGAGATTGCTCTTTTGTTGTTGTCTGCACTGATCTGTTTTTGCATTTCACAAAGAAGAACATGAAAGCAGAGTGGTTTCTTTCATATTGGAAACAGACGTCTCGTCTTGGTTGGTTTTATCTGTTTTTGCTAGTTATGTAATCGTAATATAGAAAATCTCATAATGAATCATCTTTACAGTACAAATGCCCATAAAATGCTTTTAGAAAATCTGAGTAGTGAGGTACATTAGGAAAAAATAAAGTACCTTAGGAAAAAATAACATGAGATTGTCTGGAATGTGTTTCCAAATTTCTGGGAATTAGTCTTCCTCCTCTCCTGCCAACTCAGGAAGAAGTTACAGGCTCTGCTGGGGGCTAACTCAAAGGTTTGTTAGGTTGTCCTTCACATCTAAAGTTGGAGGAAGGCTTCTTAGGAGTTTTTTGGGGCAGTTGCTGTCTGAAGATGAAAAAGCAATGTCTGGCATATGCTGTGAGATTCCCAAAATGTACCTGGAAGCAGCATGGACACTCAGAAAGGAGTTGTGTTGAAGCAGATCCAGAGCCCTCACTGATGCAGAGGAGTGAAAACACTGCTTCATATGACTGAAATGAGCCCACATTTGTTGTTTTACTTTTTAAAGCCTCTGAGCTGCACGAGGTTTACACTTACCACATGTAAATATGCACCCTGCTGCTGTAATTGTCCCTAGCTCCAGGCACCATTTTCCAACAGGATTTTGAAAACCTTGTCTTAAGTAAGATCTTTTGGACTGCTGTTGATCTACTTCAAAAATTTCCTCATGGTGTTTTCTTCTTTACCTCCTCCCATGTGTTGCCCTACATTGGGATTGTGAGCTTTTTGAGGCAGGTGCTGTTTGCTCTGTTTGTTCTACTTTGTTTAGCATAGTGAAGGGACCTGGGGCATCTGGTTGGTACAATCACATAAATAATTGTTTGTAATAGCCCTTTCTCTGATCCCTGTGTCAGAGTCTATCTTGGCTTTCCCTGTGGCTAGGTGTGTCACAGCTGGTTGGTGGAGGATGCTTTTGATTAAATTAGATGTGAACAAAAAAGAGGGTTTGTATGTTGTATAAATCCCTAGTGTATCCATGGGAAACAGCATGAAAATAACTCCAAGAAGGAGACATTCTCCAGCTGATTTCCTTTCCATCTCTGGTTGGCCTTTTGGAATTCAGCAGGAGGTTTGAATGCTTGGCACCTCTGAGAAACCAGGTCATCTGAGCATTAACATTCTGACGAGCATCCTAAAGCCTCAGTCCTTAGAGTTTGCATATTCAGTTTAAGCCAGAACACAGAGCTATTATAGTGAAAGAATCAGACCAGCACAGTGGTCTGGTAACTGTTGGACATAGAGAATTGGAATTTCAGGTTCTGAACATGTGGGTGTACTCTGTCTCTGGGAATCCCACAGTGCCAGCACACAGGAAATAGGCTTAGTACTAATTCCAGCTGGTTGTCAAAAGTACAACTGCAGCCAGAGACACTCTGGAGATTTTTGTACAAAGAAGGTATAACAGCTTGTTAAATAAGCAGAGCCATTCCAGTGGTGTGTCATCAAATATAGTGGCTGCAACTTTATCAGCTTCAGTGACCCAAATTTCATAGCTTATCTGAATGTATATATTGTTGCTTGCAAGCCAGTATCCAGAGCTGTCTCCTGGTTATTGCCTGTATTCTGTGGCCAGTGTGCAACCATGTGGTATAAAACTTTGAGTATTGTAGATTTATTTGCTTTTCTCACTTTTTACTTTCAAGCAGGAAAGGCATCAAATCAATCTTTCCACAGTGATTTTGAGTTAATTTAAAAATAAGTTACTAAACCAGAATGACAAAGGGATTTAACTTTTTATTAGCAAAATTTCCTTGTGATACAATGAGACAAATACTCTGAAAGTGTATTTGCATGATGATAAAGCTTCCAGGTCATAACAATAATGTTGATTTTTCCTCTTCCCAGCTGAGCCATTATCTGGACATCGTGGAAGTCAATATTGCTCACCAGATTTCTCTTCGTTCAGAAGCATTTTTTCATGCAATGACCTCACAGCATGAGTTGCAGGACTACCTCAGGAAAACCTCCCAGGCTGTAAAATTGCTTAGAGAGAAAATCTCTAAAATTGATAAAGTAATGTGTGAAGGATCGCTTCGAGTTTTAAGACTGTCACTCACCAGAAATAACTGTATAAAAGCATACAATAAACTGAAGCTAATGGCTACTGTACACCAAACACAGCCCACAGTACAGTTGCTGCTCTCCACTTCAGAGTATGTTGGAGCTTTGGACTTAATAGCAACAACACAAGAGGTGTTACAGCAAGAGCTTCAAGGTATTCACAGTTTCCGGTAGGTAACCATGTAGGAAATACATGAAATTCCAGCAAGAGAGCTGGAATGTGTTGAGCACATTATGTTGGCTGAAGGGATTTGTTCCACCTTTGTTCATTCATTCTTAGAAGACCTAATACAGAAGGTATAAAATGTAAGTGTGGCATAAGCAGTGTGACTAATGCCTTTGCCAGAGATGGGATGGGGTTTTTTTGGAGTGGAATGAAATTTTGACATGTAAATGCTTTGTCCTCTGTTCTGGTTTACAGATGTTTTAGGGTTGCAGAGATGAGAGCCAAGCTGTGGCTGGACTTTCATCTTGCATGGCTTCTAGCTGAGAGGTGTTTTCCACATGGGGGTCTGCCATGCTCCTGCAGGCAGCACCCCAGGGATGGGTCCTTGGGCCTGTGTCTTTAGTGGCTGACCCGGGCTGCAGTTGTTAAAGGAGCATGCAGGAGTTTTAGCACAGCAGAATCCTTCTACTTGTTGTAAAATAAGCTGTCATAAGGTACAGGTTCTTTAAAAGTGGTGCATGCAAAGCTGCCAGTGTGGCATGATGCTGGCAGAAGCAGTGTGTGGTTAAATCAGCTCCAAAGCTTGCATCAGCCAGCTGAGGAGCTGTGTGCTGAGTATTCTGAGTTGATGCTGGGTGAGGGGTGCCTTGTTTAGAGCTTTTGGGGTTCTGCAGCCCAGTGGTCCACAGCTTGCCTAATGGAGACATGATTGCAGCTCAGTACCTGCAGCATGAATGTTCAGAACTTTCTGTAATTACTGCTCTTGTCCTTCTCTTTTGTCAAGTTCCTAACACATCTTCTAGCTAGTTCAGAAAAACCTCAAATTTTACATAGAAAACATCTCAGGAAAAAGTCAGAGAAAAAGTATTAAGAATTAAAAAAAAATTTAAAAGCGCTAATAAATTATTGGGGTAAAGTTGCTGTAACTGTTTTTGTTAAAAAGCCTAGAAACAGACCATCTAAAAAGTGTAGTGTGTCTCTCTTCAGATGCCTCAGAGCAGTTTGTCCTCTTTAGTGTTCCTGCTATCAAGCACTTGATTCTGGTGCCCAGCCCTTGAGTGAGTCACCTTTGGATTGACCTTGGTGACAAGTCAGTGCAGTTCTACAGCCCTGTGACAGCATCACTCAGAATCAGCTGTGTTCTGCAGCTGGGTGACCTGTGTGCTCTGTCAGCAGAGAGTGCCATTCTCTTGTCATTGATTGACATGATGTCCCAAGAATGTGCCATTGTTTCAAAATTACCCTCAGGTGTGGAACATATTTAGATAATCATCTTGTCTGTAAAGAATAATTTCTGTGAGCAAAGCTTAGCTGGTTGTTCTGGTAGTTACAGACAGTGATGTGTGTGGGAAATGGCCTCTCTGCTTTGGAAGTGAAGGCTCACAAAGTTGAGTTAAGAGCTACCTAACTCATGTACCCCACCAGAAATGCAAGTGCAGCTGGGAAGCCCAGCACAGTTTCCAAATCTCACAGTGGCCTGTGTATAAGCTTTTGTGAAGAAATAATGTGCAGTGGAAAGATGGAAGTCTTGATAAAACTTCTCAGTAGAATGTAGTGTTTCTAAAAATAAATAAATTTTAAAAAAATCTGAATTGGTGGCAAGCATATATTCTTCAGTTTTTCCTAAGAAATACCAAAGATATCTTCTTGCTTTATTCTGAGCAAGAATGATATACTTGTCAAGTGAGTTAAATACCCAGTTTATTTAACAAGATACTTCCAAAGTAATAACACATTTTCTAAACAATTACTATTTTTTACTAAATATCTGATGAAAAAACTCCCAACATCTTGTTTTAGTGTTGCCATGGCAGCTTGTAGAATTTGGTGTTTTCAATTGAGTCATGTCAGAATCATTCAATATAAAGCAGTAAGAAAACAACACAAATCATAATTAATATTTCCCTTGTCATACTGTATGCAGAGAAAAATGTTGTTTCTAGTTGTAGCACAAAATGAAAAAATCATAAAGGTTGTGTGAAATAATATATTGGTGTCTTTAGTCTGGGTTACTGTCACCAATGATATGTGTCAGTTGTAACTGCTTGCTACTATAGGATAGAATTAAAGTTTTAGAGCTCTAACCTTTTCAAGTTCACCCTTTTAATTTTACAAAAGAAAGCTGAAGTGTTAATTAACTTAAAAATCTGTGAAAACACTTTCTGCATCCTTTTCACAGTCCTTGTTGGGGTGATGGAGATACAGTGATTTTGTTTGTTGGGGGGGGTGGTTTGGTTTTTTGTTTTGGGGTTTTTTCCCCACAGGTGTGCTGGCAAACCACACTTTTGCAGTATTTTATTCAGTAAAAGCGGATACATGGAAAAACAGTTCTCCTTTGTGTATTTTAAAAGAATCTTTACCCTGCAGTTGTCATTTTCCACAATAGAGTTGTCATATTCAGTATTCATTGAAAGGGTCTGATGTGTGAGTGGTACCTGTTAAAAGATAATTACCAAGTTGTTTTTCTGGAGTGTGAATTAAGGTTTGACTTGTTCCTGAATGTTTCAGGTTGGAGGGATTTTTGTGGCTGCTAGGGACTGGAACCTCTTGGACAAAGTGTTGAGGGCCACTGCTGGGAGCTGTTGTTGGATGTTTCCATAGCTGAGTTTTGAGAGGGCAGGTTTTTGGTGTGTTTCAGTGCAGTTCAGCACAGAAATAATGTACCAAGGAGCATCTTCATGCTTATCTCAGTAACAGCCTTTGTCTTGTGGCTCCTAGTCCTGCAGTCAGTGCCTATGATGCAACTGGCTTGAATTTTCTACAGGCTATTTTTATTTAAATTAGATATTTTGAATATGTTTGCTTTGTCCATTCCATTGAGTTATTGAACAATTTCAAAAGCAGGTACATCCCTGGTCATCCTGAAATTAAAATAAGTAAGTTAATCTGCTCAACTCAGATCCAGCAAGATTCCTGGCCTTCAGCTCAGTGCTGGCTCTGTCAGTTTCTGCAAGGAGGAGGAACCAGGAGTCATAACTTGTGACAGCAAAGGATCCAGCTACACCAGCACTGAATGAAAGCCATGTTCATAGCCCCCATTTTGTATCTAGGCTTATCTAAAATATCACAGCTCCACTTAATTCTGATTTGCAAAGTGTCTGTGTTTGTTTGGTTTTGTTAAAGAAAAGGCAGTCTGATTTTTACTGATATTTGTTCCCAGCTGTTAGTGGAAGTTGAAAAGCCTGTAGTGTTTGACATCTCTGAAGTTCACACTTTTAAAGGGTGGTTGACATTTCTGATGTGAGAAATTCCCTTGTGGTTCTGTATGACAACAGACTGCAAAATATAGTCTAAAATCTCCCATACTTGGGAAAAATATTTTTCATTTAGAGTAGCATAAAATATGGCAAATTTAAAAACTCCTATGTATTCTTTGAAAGCAATCCTGTCATGTGAATTTAATCTGTGATCACATCAAAAGTTCAAATGTTTGAATTAGAAGAACTTGTGGACTGATGATCTGAGGAACTCAACAAGCAAAAGAAGTATTCCTTCTTTTTAACACCTTTATGCTGACAAGCAGGGAGTATTCTTAGTTCTGGTTCATCTCATTGGGCAAAGAGGTACTTGGCACCTTCCAAAAAAAGAAAAAAGCCCTACTTCCAAATTTTATCCTCCATCAATATTCAAGTCCATATGTTTTGGTGTAAGGTGACAGTGCCTCTGAAAAATGCATGATTTCAGCTGCTCTGAGGAGTGAAACATTGGAGCCTCCCATTAAGCCAGCATTGATTGCATGGAAATTTCCTGCTGGGTGGTTATTTTCTTCAACTGTGAACTAATGATTCGTTTTCAGGTTGATTATTTAGCTCATATCTCAATGGCTGTTTTTCTTAGGCATCTTGGCTCACAGCTTTGTGAACTGGAAAAGCTGATAGATAAAATGATGATTGCAGAGTTTTCAACTTATGCTCGCAATGATTTAAATAGACCCCTAGAAGATGATTGCCAAATTCTAGAAGAGGTATGTCTGTTATTGAAATTAACTGTCTCATGAATATGTTTGCATCTTTAACATACTTAATTGGCACCAACAAATTCACTCAGGTCTCTAGTAGCAACACTATAATTTTAGACTATTTAACTTCTCATCCACACCTCTCCCCGCCCATTTATTTTTGTGCTTGATAAGATTAAATAATTCTAATTAAACTCTGAACTGCAATCGAGGCCCACTTCATTTTTTCAAAATAATCCGTTCTCTTTTCTGTGATTAAATGTATACTGAGTTCACTTCATGAACCTAAGCATGTAAGTGGAAAAGAACATGGACTCTGATCTACTTGGTTGTAAAAACTTAAGTTTTGCAATGAAAGCTGATATTTGTGTGTTGTTCTCATTCTGTCTCCCCATGGTTTTATGGGTGCTTATACCAAGCATATGCTTGCCCTGAATGCATGCTTTATTCCCTGTAAATATAGATATATATTCCTCATTCCTCTGAAGATCATAAGCATATGAGGATTAGGCTATTGTGGTTGCTTTCTAGCCCAGAAAAGATTTTTCTGGATTTTGCCTGTAGGGCTCTTTATTAATTGCTAGAGCCTATGACCTGTTCAGCCTTGTTTAATCCATTTATGAGATGTGGTGGTTGGCAGTAGCACTGCAATGCTCCCCTTTCTGCCCCTTATTTCCTTGCCCTCTGTGCTGCAGCCTCTCACTCGGGCTGTGCTTACTGTCAGCCTTGCTCAGGCTCAGGAAACTCACTCATGGTTAGAAATATCCACAGGTTTAAGCACTTGTGAGTCAGCCCAGTTCAGGAATTGGCAGGAAAAGGGGTGGGAGGAAGAGACTCAGCTGGTATTGCCACAGGGAACTTTTTTGTATAGGCAAAGCTTGGCATTAGTCTGGAGGAATTGGATTGACCTAAATGCTCTTCACTGTGTGCTTGATACATGAACTTTCTTACTGCTGTGCAATTTCTTGAAATTGTTTCTTGTCTTCACCTTGATATTTTTCATGTGTGGTTTGTTTTAATTTTCTTTTTTCTTGATAGGAGAGACTTGTATCTCTAGTATTTGGACTTCTAAAACAAAGGAAGCTAAATTTTTATGAAATATATGGAGATGAAATGATTAATACTGCAAAGAATATAATTAAACAGGTAAGACAAACATTTCTAATGTACCTGACAAGCTTTTCTCTACCCCTTGCAAATATTTTTTTTTAGTCATTAATAACAGCTCTGATTAAGTTTTTTGGGTGGCTGATGGTCTCTCAGTTAGAGCAGCTGAACTTGCAGACACTTAAAGGGCTCCCTGAAGCACAAAGGTCTTTACAGAATAATTTTGGGAGGTGTGGGTAACATAAGCTCACTGTTTTCTGTGTAAAATTAACATTGTTGTGAACTTCCCTTTCTCTTAACACGTGGCTCTCTGAAATAGTAGAGTTGTGTCATAGCACTACATTTCATTAAAACCTACAACAAAACAAACACTCCAAAACCACACTAAAAACCTCTCCTTCCCAACACACTGTAAAGCAAAACCCTGGAGTTCTTGGTGTAAACACATAAAGGAGAATCAAAGAACTTGCCAGTTTAAACAAATGAATTCCCTCCAAATGGTACAGAAAATATTTCTTGCCTTTATGTGAACACAGACCTAGCACAGGCGCATGATAAAAGGTTGGAGAATATCCTTGCCTGTTTCTGAGAGAGCAAGGTGAGGTAATGGAGAAGGTAAAAGTGCTTACCTTTAAAAAAAACTTAAATTAAACCCCAAATCCTTTTCTTCATCAGTGTGGTGGTTTGCTATTTAGGGCAGAGTATTTCAAGCCAAAAAACCTTATTGATAAAACCAGCTAAAATCAATAATTGAACAAAATTCAGATTCTTGCTTTGGGGGAAATACATTGGGTAATTTGGATAGTGACATGAAGACTTCTGTTTGCAAACAGATCTCAGGCTGAACTTAGGGGGTGTGTGTGGTACTTTCAGTTTTACTCACCTTGTTTGTTTTCCCATATATGTAAGAATATTGTGTAAGAATGGAGTTTTTTTCCTAGAGCTAGGTGATTTTTTAGAGTTATGCTCTGATGTGCTATGAACTCCCTCTGATTTATATCTCAAAGGCTGGGAGATAGGTGCTGAGTTGGGCATCTCCTGTCCTCATAGCATAGTCTGCAGTTCACAGCTGTATTGTGAGCTGGGTTGGGAACCTAGTTTTTAAAAGTTTGGATTTGGTTTTTTAATACTGTTATTTGAAGTTTTTGTTTTAAGCCAGACTTGTCTGTTCCAATCCCTTTCACATTGCAGCCTCATGGTTCTGTTGGTCTGCTTGTACAAGGTGGATAGGCCCATATTGCTAGTAAATTAAAAAAAAAAAAGGAATTAATGAATAACACCAGGATAAAGCTGTTCATCTGCCTGGCAGTCTCCACTGGCTTTTCACTTGCCTGTATCAGCAGTCATTAGGAGACTTCTTTTTCCCTTCAGATTCTTTGTTTGATCATATAATAGACAGGTAGCATGCCCTGTTTTTCTGCTCATTCTCAGTCTCAAAATGCTTTTCCCATTCTGCTGGGAAAATTTAAGTTGGATTTTCCAGGTTTCCCCTCTGCTTAATAGAAGACAATGTTTAATCAAATTCCAGTGTAAATTTCTGTTCAATAAGGAAAATAGGCAGGATTTGTGTAATTCCTGTGTGGTTTGTGCAATGCTTTTGTATGGTGGCCCATTGTCTCAACTCTTAGGGGTACTTTTCCTTAATAAAGGAAACTCTTTTCTTGCCACACCTCAAATGTGCTTCCTCTTCAAATGCATTGCTGGGCTGTTTTGGTCAGTGAATTTTAGTAGGCTCTGGTTGCCAGGCAAGTGTAAGAGCAGAGGTTTGTAAGCACTGAGCACACTGCATAGTTCAAGAACAAGGTTGTGTTCTTCTTCAGAAGCTTCTGTACTGACCACTATTATTCAGAACAGGGGTAGAACCCATGTAGCTTGAGATGGCAGCCCTCAGTCACCACTGGGATTGTACAAACTTGCTTAAAGGCAAGATGAGTTCACACTCTGCTACTCATTTTTCAGTTTATTGACTGGCATTTGGGGGAAAAGCCTTTTTTCAGTCTGAGTGGACTTGATTTGTACCTTAGGCTTACAAGTAATGGGAAAAGAGATGAATGAAATGGCTGTAGAACTGTAGATGTGTTTGGAATGAAAATCGGTTGTACTGGAGACCTGAAGAAGCTGGCCAGTTTTGTATGCACCAGTTGCTTTGGGGGTTTCTTTTGTTTTCTTTGGGAGGGGATTTGATTGTTTTTTTGGGTTTTTTTTTGGTGTGTTTTTAGAGAAATAAGTTGTTAAGTGATACAAGTATCTCTTTCTTTTCTTCTTTTACTTTTCCTTATTTAACTTAAGGATTAGTGTGTTTATTATGACCCTCAGCAGTGGTTAGAAAGAAGCTAAGATCTTCTTTTGTCTTGTTTTTTTTTCCGCCTTAAAATTTGCCAGTGTGTGGTTAATACGGTATCGCAGATAGAAGAAATAGACACAGAAGTGGTTGTTAAGTAAGTATGCAGCCAGATTTTTTTGTTTTGTGGTGCTGGTGGGTGGGGATAGTATGATTTTTAGCATAGATAAATTTACTGTTCTAATTTTTGCTTAAATTTCCCTATAATTAAGGATTATTCTTCTCTTGCATCCTAAGACTCTGCTTTTGTCCCCCTCTGGGTGGATATTGTTTTACTTCTCATTCGTATTCTAATGTTACCTTAAATTTACCCTTGAAATAAATACTAAAATTCTGTGAATCCCACTACATGAAGCATATATTTTTGAATACATCTCTACGTGAAAGTGTTCCCTGTTGCCAAAATCTGGGACTTTGTATTAAAACATGTCATGAGTTTAAGTTCCCCATAATCAAGAACAAGGGAGACCAGACAACTTCAGGAATGGTCCATCAGGGACCTCACCAAGCCCATCAAAGGCAAATGCCAGAGCAGAGATGGAGATGGAGCCAGACTCCTCTCAGTTTGCCCCAAGGGCAGTGTGGAAGAAGAGAAATTCCAGTTGAATGGTAGGGAGAATCTGTTTCCCAGAAGGCTGGTCAGACACTGGAACACAGCCCAGAGAAGCTGTGCAATCTGTGTTCTGGGACATGGGCAGGCTTTGACTGACCCAGAGCAGCCTCGTGTAGTTGGACCTGCCTTGAGCAGGGCTTGGCCAAGGCAGCTCCAGAGGCCCCAGCTCCAGGGGCCCCTGCCAGCTTCTGTTTTTTCTATGGCTTTATGATTCACTTGACTCAGCAAAGTGTTACCCCAAGATAATAAAAATAGTCCAGCTGATAAAGCAAAGTGAGTTGCAAAACCTGCATGGAATTCATACCCAGACTGAGAAATTATTTGGCACAGGGTCATTTTTACACATTGATATTTGGTCACCATTCTTTAGTGTTTAGTCTTCTGCTCTTGGGTCCTAACTGTGTATTACAGGGTTTAATTTTTGTTCTGTCAATGATTTTTCTGCCCTTTTGCCACAAACTGCTGACTTGTACTTTAATAGCAGAAGTGGTCTCATTGCAATGCCTTGCAAATAGAGCCTTTAAATGGCTTAATAACACAGCTTTTTAACACTAGAAAAGTATTTTCATGTAGATTTTTTTGTATTTTTTTTTCCTCCCACATGGTTTGTGAAAATGTTATTAACCCCGCCTCTTGTAGGTAACACATATTTATCCTAGGGAAGAGAACATTAGGCCTAGGAAAGAGCTAAAGGGTGAATGTGAAGCTTTCATTTTCTGATAGTGTGATCTAATGCTATATCCCTCCTTTCCCTCTTCACTTGCATTGTGTTGATCATGACTGTTGGTTGGGTGGTGTCTGTCCCTTGCCAGGTGAAAGTCTACACACATTTCCTTATATTTGCAATTCCATTTAAAGCATGTTTTCTTTTCCTTTATGTGCCAGTAGGAATCATGGCCAGCAAACAATTGCTGTTTTCTGAATACTGCTCTTTTTTTAGGCTTGCAGACCAGATGAGGATGATGAATTTTCCTCAGTGGTTTGATTTACTGAAGAATATTTTTTCAAAATTCACTATCTTCCTCAAGAGAGTAAAGGTAAGACATTCATCTACAAAGAACTTCATACAGTTCAGGCATGAAAGGGAATGAAGTTGCTTTTCCATTTGAAGTCTTAAGATGTTGGTTTTGCTTGTAGAGTTCAAACTTCTGATTGAAAGGAGATGTGCATATTGGCATCCATCCTGGGCAAAAATGATTAGTGCTAACCAAGAGAGCAGTGACAAAGAGATAATACCTCTTTTGCTCTATTACTTCTATTCTAAGCTGCTAGGGATTAGGACAGGACTTTTGTACGTGTTAGATTGCTCCAAATGAGGTTTCTTTCACCTCTCTCAGAAACATCAGATATTGGTTGCCATCAGACAAATGGATCTGCCTCTAAATACTAATTACACAACAAAGAAAATCTCTTTCTAGCACAAGCTTGTGGCACTGGGTTTTGGGGTGTTTTTTTGTAATAAAAGTTATATTTCATTCTAGGCAACGTTAAATACTATCCGTAGCGTGGTTTTCTTGGTTCTAGACAAGAACCAAAAAACCAGAGACCTGGAGGACACGTTGCAGAAGAACTCTGCTAAGGAGAGCCTGGTGGACAGCGAGGTGGCCTACCTGACCCACGAGGGGATGTTCATCAGCGACGCCTTCGGCGACGGGGAGCTCCCGGCCGGAGCGGCCGACTCGGCCTCGCAGAGGAACACGTCCCCCAACAGCGAGCCCTGCAGCAGCGACTCCGTCTCGGAGCCCGAGTGCGCCACCGACTCCTCGTCCAGCAAGGAGCACACGTCCTCCTCGGTCACTCCGGGAGGAGTGGACATGATGTGAGTGAACTCCCTGCCTGTCTCCGCCTGGCAGCGTGGCCGGAACCAGGGGTGAGGTGCAGGCGGTTGTTTCTGGTCACACAGTGCAAAAATGACTTTGGAGCAATGTGCTTTTTAGGTAGGTGAAGTGTAGTGGCTCTCCCCCTAGAGACTGCCATCAGAGTGCACTGTTATATTTGCCTTTTTGTCACCTCCATATGTAGTGATGCAGGGACTGATTTATGTCACTTCTTCCAGAAAAGAGCCCCTTCTCCATTAGTTTTTCTGGGGAGGTCACTTGTGTAGAGAGAAGGAAAGAAATGAGTCCCTGGAAGACAGATTGTTTGTCATGTCTTTAGCAGGCAGAAGCATTTCTGTTCCCTGTCCATGTGTCCTATGGTTATTTTTCCTGTTTGGTTTTTTTTTTTTTTTTTTTGGCTTGGTTTTTTAAGATGGCTTCATAGGATACACCTTGATCAATTCTAGAGAAAAATCTTCTCTTTGTCATCACCTATTTGACTTGCTTGTATAAATAAATAAATCCATCTCAGTGCTTTGGTTACATAGGCAGTGCTACCCTGAGGTGCTCCAGTCTCCAGAGTTCCAATCTTCTGACATCCTTTTGTGCACCCCTTACTTGTGGCTACGAGTAAGAGCTATCTTTTGAAAAGAACCAGGCATAATATGTGGGACTCAGGCATGAACCACTTCAAAAGCCAGCATGTCTGGATACAGAGTTATATGAAGCAAAACTGAAAATATCACTTGTTACCCTTCTGAGAGATGGAACACAGCAAGTGGCCTGCTCTTGCTGCTTGGTCCTTGAGTATCTGTACTTAGGTGTTGAAACAGGTGTTAGTTTTGATGGAGACCTTCCCCACCAAACAACAATGCTGGCTGAAGGAGATAGAGTCTGAATAATTATGCTGTGCATAAAACACAGGCCTTTGTATGTCTGAACATTTGTCGTGTGCATGAAGAGAAATGAAATGTGAAGAGGAGTCCAGGGTTACATGGAAGAGCAGGAAAAGGAAAGGGGGTTGAATCCAAACTAGTCTGGAACACTTTGCCAAGTTTGCTAAAAATACACCATCCAGCTAGAGCTTCTGAGAAGTAAAGTTGTTTCTGAGGCTGGTTGCATAACTTTGTTCTAAAATTAACTTATTTCATCACTCTTCTGGTTTTGTTTGCACCTTTGCTCTGTGTTTGGAGCAGGCTAGTAAAAATACACAGAACAATGTTGGCCCAGTTCTTGCTCTGTGGTGTTCTGAGTTCTCTTCTGTTGTGCTGTCAGTCCTTGGCCCAGAAGATTGTGATCTTCACTAATGGCTTGAACCATGAGCAGCAGAGCTGTGCTCAGTGCTGGCCTCAGAACAGTAGACAAGTCATACAAGGTCTTTTAAAAAGTACCACCTTAAGAGCCTGTAGTCCAAAGAGGTAATAGAATGACAGCCTGTAGATTAAGGCTGTGGGGAGTGCAGAACTATCTGTTTTAGGCCTTACACTTGCATTGGAAGGAAAGTGCTGTGTTTTATTTGTCATATGCTTGTGATGCTGAAGTCTCACAGGAGCTGGGTCAATTTTAGCTCAGTAAATTGTTAATTACATTTATTGTATCAGTAATGGCTATATCATGTTTACTCTTAAATCATTAATAGCAATCAGAATGCAAAATCAGAAAAAAATAAAGGAAAAGGATGTGCTGTAATGCATTTCCTTGCTATGAGGGGCTGACAGAACCTTGACAGCAGCTTAGAAGATCCCATCTGTATAAAGTGACTTTGGTGATTAACTGACTGTATTTGACAGTTGCTGCAAGGCTTTTTCTTTCTGTGTGCAAAAATACTGTTTGCTCCATAAACTGATGCTCAGCCAGCTGGTTCTGTCGTTTTTAGGATTGGTGAGGACATGAAACTGACTGACCTGGAGCTGGGCAGGCTGGCAAACAATATCCAGGAGTTACTTTATAGCGCCTCTGATATCTGCCACGATCGCTCGGTCAAGTTCCTCATGGCAAGAGCAAAGGTGAGGAGCTTGGGTCAGAACTGCTGGTGCTGCCTCATGCTTGGTGAGCATTTGCTTCCAGGTTACTGCTTTGATGAGGGTTCTGAAGTGGCATCCGTGAAAGGAAGCTGTTCCTGCTGCCACAGGCTCTGTATGGTAATGCTCAGAGCACACCAGCGTTAACATAAATTTTTTAATATTCTAATTTGCTGTCTTTGATGCTTCATGCAGAAAATGTGTGTCTGTGACAAGGTAGCAGCTTGCACTGCAGTCTACTCTGTCTGTCATGTGTAGGGTTAAATAATGTGCCTCTTCAAACTGTAGTAGGCCTCAGACATGCTGACTAGTTATTTCTGTATGTCTCTGGATTTTGGTGGTGGTATGTCTCCTTACAATGGTTTTCTTTGCATACAGGATGGCTTCCTAGAGAAGCTGAATTCCAACGAGTTCGTTACTCTTTCTCGCTTGATGGAAGGCTTTATCTTGGATACTGAGCAGATCTGTGGCAGGAAAAGCATGTCCTTGAGAGGAGCTCTTCAGAGTCAAGCCAATAGATTTGTGAATAGGTTTCATGAGGAGAGGAAGACAAAACTAAGGTACCTCTCTGGTAGACAATATTTGCGTTCTTCCATGAATAATTTTCTGTATCGTATGCCAGCTGAACACAACTTTTTGTTGCCTAGAACATCAGTAAGCTTGTTATACTTAAAAGCAGGGGGTGAAAAAACTGTGTTAAACCCCAATTATTTCCAGTTGGTTTAGACTTTTACTGTTTTCAAAACTTGATTTCTTCAAACTGGATTGTTCTACAGTTACTTAAATAAGAGCAGTAATGGCTACAGAAAGTACACAAAACTAGATTTGAAGAGCAAGATTGCTCTGTTTCAGGGGTTTAAGAATAATTCACTTTCAGCTGTTTTCTAAAAAAAAATACAAACCCAAACCTCTCGGAGAAACAGCCTGGCCAGTAACATCCATCAAGTCTGTTTGCTCTTCATCCCTCAAAAGCTGTTAAAATTCCAGTATTTACCCATTATTTCATTGGCAGTGATCTCATAAATACCTTTATTGCCTGGTGTAGTTTTTGGTCCCCTATGACAGGTTGAATGAATGAATTGTGAAATCTCTAGACCAGCACAGAGTTGTTCTGTTTTGCTGCTGACAATTGTCAGGCACCTCCTTCTCATGAAGACTGACATGACATCTTGGGCCAGTGGTTTTTGTTAAAGTTGTTTTTCAGCATTACAGTCAACAGAAATGTCAGGACAAGGTATTTCTTTCTCAGCCTCCTCTCTTTTGTGTTTGTCCCAGCCTGCTTTTGGACAATGAGCGCTGGAAGCAAGCTGAAGTTCCTGCCGAGTTCCAGGACCTCGTTGATTCGGTGTCAGATGGCAGAATTTCTCTCCCTGAAAAAAAACCAACAGGTGTGTCTTGCAGTCCTGCTGTGAAATGGATTTATTATCTGCACATTCTGCTGTTGAATGTTGATGAACATATTCTGATGACACACTGGATCTGTGTTTGCTCCCTGTCCTTTGGGGGGATGGGAAGAAAGTTGATAGCTCTTCTCTTATCTTTTTATTTTTTTCTGTTACTGGTGTTGAAATATCTTGTGCTGAAAGTTTATCTGTTTATTTTTTGGAAACACCAGAAGAGTTAGCACAGGGAGAGAGCTGCCTTTTTATACAAATATTCCCAGGGTAGAGGCTTGCAGCCTCTGCACAAATTCAGTCTTTTCCCACAAGGTACCACTGAGGAATTGCAAGGGACTGAGGAGCACGTGTGTGTGCTCAGCCCTCCTTGTGTGAAACAAAGCCTGCTCCTTCCCACTGCTTCATCTGCCAGTTCAAATGAAAGGCAGCATGCCATGTGGCTGCTCATGGAAGGAAAACTCATGTTCATTCAATTATTTACCTTGCCACAGAAACCTCATTTGACCTCAGAAAAGTCACTTTTTCCTCCTCCTTCCCCACTTCCACATGTGCACAGTGGGAATGCGTAATGTGTTCTTACCTTGTGGGGATGCTTATCCAGTATTGCAGTGCTGGGGGGGAAGTGAATAACCAGAAGAGGAAGAAAGCATGCAGAGAGGGGGAGAAAAATGGCAAGAGATTAGAAGGAAGAAAATACAGTGATGTCATGGTGGAGAAACCCTGATCTCCCAGAAGGAACATAGCAGATAACAGAGAGTGTATTAAAGCAATAATCACTCCAGTTATGGAACATGACACCAAAATGTTTGTCAGCCCTTGCTGGTAAAATAACCTCCTGCAGCCTCCTTCAAGCAGATAATTTAGCATGAAAAACTGCATCAGTAAGAGCTTCTGTTAGGAAGCCTGAGGAAAAAGTGATTTGAAGCTAAAATATTAATATACACAGCAAATCACTTGACAATGTATAGTAGAAAACCTAGTGGCTTTTTCTGCCTTTCTTCTATTTGTAACCTGTTGTATTTGGAGTTTTTAAGTCCATAATGACTGTGGGACTATGAGATTTTTTTTGATCTAAAATCATAGCAGATAATGAAGTAACTTTGTGGGTCATAAAAACTTTGATGGATGATCAACTATTTAATAAATACTGTAAAATTTAGAGAGAAGTGCTTGCTACAAAAATTGGGTTTTTTCAAACCTTATCAAGTGAAACTGCATTTTTATAAACAGCATTTTTTGCACTTGTTTTTAGTTCAACTCACTCTTTTTCCTGTCTTACTAAAATATCTAGCTACTGAAGAAAGAAAGCCAGCTGAATTCCTTATTGTTGAAGGACAAAAATATGCAACAGTTGGGTAAGATGCACTTTTTTCTTTTAGCAGTGGATTAGTTGGCAAGAACTTCGGAGTAGAACTGTGATGAATGCTAACAGCTTTAGCAATCGTGTTTAAATTAAAAATCCCTCTCCTTTTACAGACTAGTTGCTTTTTGATTCCCAGCAGTTATAAAACACTACAAGCTCTTAGCTACATTAAAATGCCATTTTTTCTCTTAGTGGCTAGGTTCTAATTTATAATTTTGTTTGAATAGTTTTTTCCAATTATTTCATGAAAACACACACCTGAAAATACAGGTTTGTCTTCTGAGCACATTGTTATTTCTTGCAATCTAGGTTATTTCTGGCAAAAATTGTAGGCTCTTAGAATGGTTTGGGATGAGAGAGACTTCTAAAGATCATCTTGTCCTGCAGTGAGCAGGGGCACCTTGCACTTGCTCACGACCCTGACCAACTCAACCTTGAATGTTTCCAGGGCTGGGACATCCACCACCTCTCTGGGCTGCCTGTAACAATGTTCTACTGTTCTCATTGTAAAAAATTTCTTCCTTGTGTCTAGTATGAATCTACCCTGCTTTACTATAAACTGTCTGTTGCTCCTTGTCCCTCCACAGTTTGTCCCTGTCTTTCCTATAAGCCCCTGTAAGTACTGAAAGGCTGCAATAAGTTCTCCCCAGAGCCCTCTTCTCTCCAGGCTGGACAGCACCAAAAGACCTGAGTCCTGCACTGAATGGTGGTTTATCTTATTCAGAATAAGATATGGGCCCTCTCAGAAGCTGCATATGCTATTTCTTAGTATCCTGGCTGATTTGAATTGGAAAGTGGTTTCTTAAAGCTGGTTATATCAGAGACATTTTAAAATGTATGATATTCACTTATTTCTTTCATTTAAAAGCATGCTGTGTTTCCAGAGACTGTGAGGCTTAAGCATTAATTATGTATGAGAGTGTTTTTGGAGAGGGAGTAAAGCCTGGAAGATCTCACTCCCCAGAGTTCTAACATCAATTTGCACCAAACTTAAAAGGTGTGATGTACAGGATGTCTTGGACCAGCTGTCATTTTATGAGTTGCTTCATGATGATGTGTCATTTTTCAATTGGAAACAGAATCTGATGGCTGAGAACTTCTGTGCCAGGCAAATGATATCACTGCTGAAGAGCATTTCAGGTCGAGTAGGAGCATTGCTCTAAAGGATAAAATTTGCTTAATATATGATGTGTTTGATAATATTCCTCTGCTCACTTGAAGCTTGTTAAATTTAGCTCTGTGAAGCAAGTGAGAGCTTCACAGTGCAAATATTTGTTTCATTCCTACACACTTCTACATCCAGTTTCATTGCATCTAATCAAATAAAATGCATTCATTACGAATGCCTCGTGTTCACAAAACATTCTCCAGGTGTTTCAGTTGACTTGTCATCTTTTTGCACTCTACTGCCTTAAAGAAGAAAGAGTTAACTTTTTGAAATTTTAAAATATCTACTCTGAACATTTGATCTTGCATCAGTTTTCCTGCCTTTTGTGAATTTGAATTCTAAGGAGCATGCTTGCTCTATGGGAGCCTTCTTAATTCCATCCAGTAGCTCCCAAATTCTCCAGTGCCTGCTGACTTCAGGAGAATTACAGGTGTTGAGCATCTTTGAATATTTGGTGCTGTTTCTTCACAGCTGCCTTCTCTGTTTGTGACTCCTTAGCATTTTTATGTATTTTTCAGAGATTTTCTTTCATATAAAATACTTCTTCTACACACCACCTTGTGGAGTGGGTATTGGTTGTAACTTGGTTTATCTCTATGTAAATCTCCTTTTATGTTACACTTCTGCTCCACATCAGTTAGTGAATTTATTCAATGCTATGATCTCTAGCATTGGGTAGCTTTCTATCAACATGGCTGGCCTGTGTTTGACTTTTCAGCTTCTTTTGTGCACTGAGATGACATACTTGGCTGTTTCCTCTCTTTCAGGACAGTATTGCTGCTAATAAGAATAATCCTGGAGTACTGCCAGTGTGTGGATAACATTCCTTCCATCACCACTGACATGCTGACCCGCCTGTCGGATTTACTGAAGGTATGGCTCCAGATGTGCCCCAGTGCCCAGCAGGGGCAGGCAGGCTGCAGAGAACATGTCTTCCTCTCAGTAATGCTCATGTGTTTTGGGGATTTCATTTAAATTATAAAAATTATCTAGAATCATTGTGTTTGCCACTGTGCCATAAGGAAAGCTTTCAAGCCAAAGGCATTAAAGATGTAATTTGTTGTGGGAATTAACTCTGGCTGTTCACCTGGAATATTGGAAATCCTATCTAGTAGTATTTGACATAGCTGCCTGTCCTTCAGGCTGGGTGTAGAATTAATGCTGCTGAAAAAAAAGCAATTTGATCCCAGATGCCACAGAAATATGTATGTGTATTGAGGAAGGAAACAAGTCCCTTGGTTTTTACAAATCAGTAGAAGTATAGTCAGTAGAAGCATGAAAAATAGTATGGGATAAAGGTTCTGTTTTAAAATGTAAAGGTGATGAAACACAGGACCTCTTGGACATTTATTTCTCACTAGAGAAGAGGAAAGCTGCTAAAGCCCAGGCTTTTACTGCAAGGTAAAATAAATAATCAGTAATAAAAGAAGCACATTAATGCACCTTAAAACTGTCATATATATATACACACATGCATACACACATAGATATGTGTCTGTACAGGCTCCAAACCTTAGCAGCTAATTTATGTCAAGGTGTTCATTTGTACCTTTGCCCACAAAGGTCATATCAGGTATTTGAGTTCTGAACATGAGCATAGTCAATGAAAGGTAAACAGATTCAATCTCCAAAAGGATATTTTACATAAGGTGGGGGACAGGGGAGGGGAAACTGTAGGAGACAAACCTTTAAATATTTGTCCTATTGGTAGCTGGTATTTGAATAACCAGATGCAGGAAGACTGCTCCCTGCAGTTGTCTTTCATTCATCCACAAATTTTCCCTTTTAAAAACACTATCCAAGGCAAATCAGTCTGTCTGAGCCTGTCCCTGTTCAAGTCTCCTTCTCCAGCTGCTGCTTCCCTTAGGAATTGCAGGACCTTTTCACAGGTAGAATAGCAGTGGATGCATCAAACTTGGCCAGATTTGCATATCTGTGTTACTTCCCTCACATTATCTCACTCTAGCTCTGTCATTTGTGATTTATTTCTTGGTATTCAAGCATCATGTGCAGTTTATTTGCTGTATTTTTTATCTGTCAGCAAGGTGCCATCAATTGGAGAGACGTCAAGAACAGCTAGAAAAAACAAAAGCTCATTTATTACACTTTGAACAAAATAGAGCTACTCCAGGTGTCCTGGCACTGTACTTTTTGTTTGACAGCTGTCAGAACCAGCAAACTTTGAGAGTAGCAAGAGCTAGACTTGATTGTAATGGAATTTGGAAAGCATTCCCAGGTAATGAAATTCCTGGTTCTGAGCTGTGACTGCAGCCTGAGTGAAATGACACCTGTGTATGGGAGAAATCATGGAATCCTTTACATTGGAGAAGACCTCTAAGATCATTCCAGTCCAGTTGTTTACCCAACACTGCCAAGGCCACATCTACTCATCTTTTAAATACCTTCAGGGATGGTGACTCCAGCACTCTCCTGGGCAGCCTGTTCCAATGTTTGACAGCCCTTTCAGTGAAGAGATTATCCCTACTATCCAGCTTGAGGCTGTTTCCTCTTGTCCTGTTGCTTGTGGAAGAAGAGACTGACCCCTACCTGGCTACACCTTCCTGTCAGGGAGTTGTAGAGAGCAGAAAGGTCCCTCTGAGCCTCCTTTTCTGCAGGCTGAGCACCCCTGGCTCCCTCAGCCATCAGACTTGTGCTCCAGATCCTTCTCTGGGCACACTCCAGCCCCTCAGTGGTGTGAGAGGCACACGTGGCTGGAATTACTGGGGTTGTCCAGGTGGTGCAGACAGGAGAAGGCTCCTGGCTGGGTGCAGGAATGCTTTCCTCCCAGCAGGCACAAGGAGGAGGTGTTGCTCTTTTCCAGGCTCCCTCCCTGCTCTGTCTGCACCAGGCCATCTGGGAACAGTCATTGCCACAAAAGGCAGGGACAGTACGTGTGGCCAGCACCCTTTACAGACCAAGATTTTGCTGGTTTGCCTCACAGGCAGCACTAACCTGAGCTAAATACCTCAGAGGAGCTTAGGCTGTGTGAAATGTGTGAAGGGAAAATCTCCAAAAAACTCCATGAAAAACTCTCAAAGTTTGAAGGAAAATTCCCCAAAATTACAGGAAAACCCCCTGAAGCTTGACCAAAAATCCTCCAAATTTTAGGAAAAAAACCCCTGAAAATTCCAGAAAAGTATTGAAAAAAATCAAGGAAAAAGGGCCAAAATTCCAAAAAGGCCAAATTCCAGGAAAAACATCCCAAAATCTCCCTAAAAACCCCCAAAAATTCCAGGGAAAATCTGGTAAAAATTCCAGGGGAAAGCCTTAAAAATCTGCTGAGAAAAGCCCCAAAATTTTAGGAAAAATCTCCAAAGAAATCCAGGAAATCCGTGCAATATTTGAGGAAAAATATTTTTTAAAAATCTTACAAAAATCCCCAAAATTCCAGGATAAATCCCCAAAATGAAAAAATAATGAAAAAAACTTTTTCATGAAAAAAATCTCCCAAAAATTTGAGCCTTTGGCTCAGTGATTCTATTCAAAATCCACTCAGAGGTGTAAGGAAAGTTGTTGCTTTCTGGAGAAGTGGAAGTGAGGCAGTTTCAGCCCTGCCCTGTCTGAGGGCAGTGCAGGTTTTGCCTCTCTCAGATCAGGGGCCACATTTGGCTTTGGGTCTGTTGTGGGATGAGGTCTGGGTTGCTTTTCCAGCCCTGGATGCACCCTTCTGGCAGCCCAGAGTTGGGGGGTGGTTCATGGTGCCTCTGTGGGCCTGCTTGTTGTGACTGACATCAGGCAACAGCCAGAAAATTATTTCCCCTTTTTGCACAAGTAGGGTTGAAATTTTGGGTTTGTTCTTGTGTTATTGTGAAGCAGAATAATGGCCCTGCCCTCAAAAAGGAGATCTTTGTGAGGGCAGTTCTCTGTGTGGCAGACACAAGCTGCAGGGCAGCCTTGTCACATTTCTTCTGCATCTTCAGGTGTATGAGAAGGGGTCAGATCTCTCTAAGCTTTGCCTCTCAATGTCAACAGACAGTTCTGTTCAAATATGGGCCCTAGGATTTCTGCTCTACATTCAGTGCAGGAGGTGGGGACAGCAGCAGTGGCTTTTCTGCTGCATCACCCAGGCCCAGTCTGGTGTCTCAAGCTGGGTGAGGAAGCAGAATTCCAGTGTAAGACAGAGCCTTCTGATAGCAACTGTCTTACTGTCCAGAGGCTTTGTTGGCCTATGTGCTTTTAATGATAACTTCTTTTCTCCTGGAAGTAAGTTAGGAAAATCTCAGCATGAGTTGTCCACTATACCTGGAATTCTTACAGAATTGGCTTTTCATCTTCTGTGCACTGTTTGTTAAATCCAGTATTCCATAGTGTTACAAACATAGATTCAGTCACCTCAGCAGGAGGGAGGCTCAGTGCCTTCAAGTTTCCTTTAACATCAGCAGTGGAGAAGAGAGCCTGAGCAGAAACCTTTTATCTTGATGTTTTCCACTCTGATATTATGTGGTTACTCTGCTGAGAAAAACTAGTGAAACTCTGGAACTGGCCTTCATAATGACTTAGTTAATCTTGCAAAATTCTATTGATGGTGTTTCTAAACTGTGAGTTTGTGTAGATGATCAAAAGTCAACAGGCATTTTCACTGTCCTTCTTTTCTCACAGTATTTCAACTCTAGAAGTTGCCAATTAGTGCTTGGAGCCGGTGCATTACAAGTTGTTGGCTTGAAAACAATCACTACAAAAAACCTAGGTATGGATTTCTGTATTTAAAATGTCAAAATTTGTTCCCCTGCCTGTTAAAAAACCCAACTGCAGAAAAGCCCTAAATATCTGTGATAAGCTGGGTTTGAGTTGTGGGGCTGTGCATGGGCACAGAGGGTGGTAAGACCTTGCCAGTTACCTGCCTGGAGTGTAGTTTTAAACTTTCTCCTGAAATGAAGAGCCTTTGATGGGTTGGAGCAGGCATTTAAACTTAGAATTTCCATGTTTCAGAGTGAGAAACAGAAATTACCAGTCTGTGAAATGACCAGACTGCATTTCCCTTTTGGAAAGGGAACAGCCTGATAAGAATGGGTTGAGAAGCTGTGGGCCACAGCTGGGTCAGGTTTTTGCTGCAGGATGTTTGGCCAGTGACCACACTGGCACCAGTGTGTGTCCTGCTGCTGGCTCAGGCCCTGTTGGAGTTGGGAGAAGCCTGGTTTTGGGATCCTGCTGGCACTGCAGCAGGAGCAGGTTCAGGGCAGGTCAGTGCTGGCAGGGCAGGTGTTTTGTACACCACTGCAGCAGAAACACTGCTGCCTTGAGAATGTGGTTGCTGAGGCTAAGCAGCTGATGAGTCAGGTCTTTAGAGATCTCCCCGATGTCTGTGTGTGCTCAGGGCTCAAAATGTCGAGTAAACACTCGAGGAGCCTCTTGGAAAATCAGTCCCTTATCCCATCTTACAAGGCTGGGTGTGAGCTGCCAGGTACCAGCCTGGCATCTTCACAGGGTGGGGGTTCCTGGGGAAACAAACGTGTACCTCCATGCTTTTAGAACAGACCAAAGCCCACCATGTGAAGTTGTGTCAGATCTGTTACTCATGTCACAGGAGACACAGTCCATACAGAAATGACTCTTCTGTGTAATAACTGTTATTTCTCCTGGGTTCACAGCCCTTTCTTCACGTTGCCTCCAGCTCATCGTACACTACATTCCCATTATCAGGGCTCACTTTGAAGCTCGGCTGCAACCGAAGCAGTTCAGCATGCTCAGGCATTTTGACCACATCACAAAGGTAACTCTTCTGGCATTTCCTGAAACACAGAGTTCTGCTTTTCAACTGTGCTCTGAAGAACATGAATGCCACTAGAAAATGAAACCTGCTTTCTTCCCTTACAGGATTATCACGACCACATAGCTGAAATTTCAGCAAAGCTCGTTGCCATAATGGATAGCTTATTTGACAAACTATTATCAAAGGTAATGATTTATGGAAATAATTGTACACTCTCTGAATTGCAACTGGAGGTCTCATTGTATACAGTCTAGATGTTTCAAATGGAGTCTTAAACTTTCCTAACGAGGCCTTGTTTGAACTTCTTTTAATTATATAGATGGAAAGCTCTGTGCTGTTCTCATGAATGTGTCTTGTGTTCACATTTGCCACCTGGGTGTCAGTCACCTTCGCTCCCAGGAAAGTGAAATGTTCCATTGGCTGTTTCAGCAGGAATGGCAATGCTGTGGCTGGCACAGATGCTCGAGTGTTCAGGAGCTGAAGTGCTCTCCTACCACTGACAGCTCTTGTCTGCAGCCAGGCTCAGCAGATCCCATTTCCTGCTCTTTCCAACAGCGAGGGCGGCATTTCCGGCACCTGAGGAAACAGCAGGAAAGTGCTGAGGAGGAAGGGTTTTGGAGGGGAAGGACCAGCCCATCTGTTGGGCTGCAGGCCTGGGGACTGGAGGTCTGTGCTCAGCAGTTCCTGCTCTGGAGCACCATTAGGACTCCTGGTGTCTTTTGGTGTTTGAACAGTGCTACAGTGCGGTCTTGGGCTGGATCTGCTCTGGGTCACCTCAGGGTAGAACACACATCCTTGACCCACAGATACATAAAGTACATGACCTTTTAAAGCTTAGTGTTGTGCTTTGGACCTTAGGGTTTGGGCGGAAAAAAGAGCTGTTTCATGACAGGGATGAATTAATTTTTTAGTGACAAATTTGATTGATTGGCCTGGGCCTATATCTTCCTTCAAGGAGCTCATGAGAAGCACAGGAACACAGGCTGGGGACAGGCTGATGAGAGCTGTAGTGGAGCAGTTGCAACAGGCAGCTTTTCTGTCTTCCTTGCTGTTTCTGTTATTGTATTGTTACTTCATGTTGTGCTTTTTCGTTTCATCTGTTTCTTTGGTCTGTCAAGTAGTGCTGCCTAAACTTAGGGTGGAAAAAAAAAAGCATTTAAATTGGGATTTCCCACTCCTGTTGTGTTTACTTTTTAAAAAAAATGTGTTTATGCTCTTCTCTAAAGACCAAAATGGTCTGCTGGTTTTTGGGGGTTTTGTTCCACATAAATTATGTGAAGTAACATGGCTGTTTGGTCACTGGATCTCTTGAGAATAAAAGACAAATGCAAGAATTTACATTATTGATACTAATCAAGTGTAGCCCACAACAAAGCAGGAATTCAATTTATGTTCTTGATGGCAGTTAGTGAGAGCTCATCTCTTACTGTCCCTCCATCTTCACAGCCCACTGTCCCTTTGGGAGCTGACACAGGATGTAAACTGGGAGTTTAAGGTTCTTGAAGGCTGAGTGGCAGTGCTTGTTCCACATGAATGCAGCCCACAGAGCCCAGGACCAAAGGATGGTTGATTTGCTTCCATTCATAGCACATGCCATCATTTGGCTCATCTTGTTCCTAAAAAATGAAATCTTGGTACTGAAGGCTGTGAAGAGCACAAACCCAGGACATTTGCAAATAGGCATGTCAGTACAACCATGCCAGTGTGTTCTGGATTCAGGTGTTTTTCTGAGTCCAACTGTTTCAGTGTCCTGTGGATGAAGTGGCCAGCTGCTCTGAGGTGTGTAAATCTGTACAAGTGAGTGCATAGCAGTGAGTGCCTGGCACACCTCAAGCCCAGAGATCCCAGCTCTGTAGGAGATGAGCAGTTGGTGCAGTGGACAGGATGTTGACCTGGCACTGAATAATGGTAGCAAGTTACTCCTGCATTTCCAGGCTGTGCTTCCCCTGGGAGCTCCATGGCATGGCAGCTGTGTCACCCAGTGCCACTGAGACACGGCAGTTCACAGCAGCATGGACACTTCCCAACAGCTGCCTTTGGCAGGGAAATACAACAGCAATGGGGATATTGAACAGTGGAAATAATAAATTCAGCAAATGGGAAAGGCTCATTCATTACCACGAATGAAAAAATCCAGTACGAGTTCTGAGCTTCTCTTGGAACTTGCTGCCTTGTGACTGTTTGGGCAGAAGAGCAGTGAGGTTCTTTCTCATCCCTTGTGGTTTTAAAGCTGTTGACCTCAGCTGCACATAAAAATGGCCAGGAGATCTTGGGGTTCTTCCCAGGGCTGTTGATTTTCCCCATGACAATGAGAAGAGTTGGGTGTGGCTGTAGTCATGCAAGAGCCACTGCTGCAGCCTCCCAGTTCCCCCTGGTTTAACAACATGCTGGGAAATTGGAAATAATTTCTTGCTTAACTTACTTGTCTTGAGGTATGCTTGATCCCTCATGCTGGGTGGTTGTTCCCTGGAACAAAAAGCATTTTTGTCTGCTACTTCTGTCAGAATTAGGTCATTGGTTTGTATTTTCTGTAAAGACTTTCTCAAAACTCCCCATTTCTTTTTTTCTCTTGTGCTCAGACAAGCTTTGTTCTCTTTTACAATTCAGGCCTGCATGAAAGCAGACATCTCCTCCAGTCTGTTTGTAAATGATGTAGTTACAATGATTTGGTTCGTTCCTGACCTGTGCAATGCTCCCTGGGGAAGTGTCACCCTCCCAAAGGTGACCTGCCAGTGTGTCACCCAGGCTGTGATGGCACAGCCTCTCCACCTGGAACTGCAGAGCTGGCTTCACTGTTCCTGGGATGGGTTTTCAGTGTCTCTGAAATCCTGTTCAGATCCTCCCTATCCAGAGTGGGAACATAAGAATTTTGTTCCCTTTGTAGCAAATCTCTTCCCATCTGGTGTTTTCCAGTGCCTTGTTTCTTGGATTTCAGGCACTGGGAGGAGGGACTTTTTTTTTAACTCTGCTTTCCAAGGTATTTGTGCAATATTCTTGTGGGGTTGTGATGTGATGTGGTTGGGTTTGTTTTTTTTTTTTTTAATGGGAGATAGAGATTTCAGGAGTTTACATTTCTTTATGGTTTCCTTGATTCTTCAGAAATTTGGATATGTATGATCCTAGACAAGCAGATTTCTTGGGGAAGTATCAAGGGGCACATTTCTCAGAGGCAGAAGTGCTTGTCTGTCCTTGGCTTGTATCAGTCTGAAGGAGAGGGCCAGCTCACAGCCACAGGACTTGCATCTGCAGCTCCTGGCTGGATCAGATCATGCCCAGCCACCCTTTTAATTTGTGGTGTGCTAAATGGATCTTGATTCCTGATGTTATTAGCAAAGCAGAGCCCCAGGTGGCTGTTGGGAGCTCTCCTACATAAACCATTTTAAAGTGGCAGAAAGGAGTTAACTGGTTGTGTGTTTATTTGCAGTATGAAGTGAAAGCCCCTGTTCCTTCAGCATGCTTCAGGAATATCTGCAAGCAAATGGCAAAGATGCATGAAGCTATATATGATCTCCTTCCTGAGGAGCAAACTCAGGTGAATGTTATTTTTGAGCTTCATCTCACAGCTCGCTTGCACATGGCCTTGGGAACAGGAGAGACTTTATCTGGGGAGAGGGAATTCTTTTTTGAGTCCTGGTGAAACCCACACGTTAACGGGCTTGGCAGCAGTCACACGGACAGCTTGGGCTGATACAAGGAACTACAAGGAATACAAGAAGTATTCCAGTGTGTAGGGAGAGCAATGAGGTACACAAAAAGAATGGATTTCAGGATTTTGAGCTGCTTTTTAATGTCTAGAGATGACAATCCAGGAATTAGTGCTGAAATGCTATGCAAATGGCAACACTTCGGGCTTGAGTGCAGCCTTCTGAGAGGATTATTCTGTAACGCTGCTCAGAATCAGTAGCTTCCAAAAGTCCCTAAATGTATTACACACCCAAATTTTACCAGATGTGCTTTTGCAGGAGTCTGCTGCAGTCATTGCTACTGCAGAGTTGCAAACCTTAAGGACAGGAAGGACAGATTTAGTCATTGAATACAAGTTGTCATTTCTCTTTCACATTGAATTAAATGGTCCCTTCTAGCACAGGAAAGAGATTTGTTATCTTCTAGGCTTAGTACAAGTTGCTAGATACTTCAGACATCAGAAGAGAAAAGTTCAAAGTTCACATTCCAAAGAACATGTCCTGCAAGTGCCACACGCAGTGAGTGGGTGAGGGTGTCCTGTGTGGCACACACTGTGTGTGGCCAAGGGTGAGATTGAAGCACTGGCAGGACGAGGAACCACATGAGTGGCAGAAACAAAACCAAAAGTCAGTGACTGAGGGTGCTGGCAGTGTGTTTCACCTTTGGAGGCAGCAATGTGAGCAATTCCTTACTCTGCTGCTGTGCTTTCTTCCAGATGCTGTTTTTACGAATTAACGCAAGCTACAAACTCCACCTGAAGAGGCAGCTGGCCCACCTCAATGTGGTCAATGATGGAGGACCTCTGAACGGGTGAGCTGGGCTCTTCTCTCCTTTCACTGATTAAATAGGCAGGCATTGGGAGGGCATCTTCTGCAAGGAAGTCATGATTCCAGAATCACAGCTCCATATTTTAGTATGTCCCATTTGGAGCTTGCTTACAGTAAAGGGCATGACTTGTGCCATTCCACAGTGACTAGGAGTGCAATCCACTTGGTAACAGACTGGGAGCTGGACATTGTCTGACTGGAAACCTGCTGGTAGCTGTCCTCAGCTCATGGATTGCTTTCTCTCCCTTTGTGTGACAGCAGCAGCCACAGTTTAATTAGCAGGAATTGTGTGATTCCTGAAGCAATTTTGAAATGTGGATGGTGACTCATGATGCTGGCAAAGTAAAAATAGGAGAAAGCAGTATTTCATCTGTGCAGTGGGCAGCTCTGCAGGAATGGAGAGCAGAACTAGATCTGGAACAAAGATTATGCTCACAGCTTTTCCCCTTCCCTACCACAGCCCACTCCATCCCCAAACAGGTCTGTGGTACCTGTCCTGAGAGAGGGTGCCTGGCTGTGCCTGCTGTCCCCACCTCACAGGAAAAGCCTCTTGCAGGCTGAATTCTGTTGTCAGATGGATTGTCCCCTGAAACAGTGGAGTTTTTAACTGTTCCTGATGACCTGGGGGCAGTGATGTGTTTGCAGTGTAGCAAGGGTGAATGAAACTCATGGGCCTACCCACATGCAAGAAGAGATTGTCTTAGGTTGCAGGAGTCAGAGAAGAAAGTTGATAATGCTTCAAGTGTCACTGCAATGGAAGTCTTGTTCCTTTCCAGTTTATTGCTGCTTCTCCTGTTTATGTGCATTCCTCCTTGTACTTTGTGCAAGAGTTTATCTGAACTGGTTCTGTGTACTCGTGGTGTGACATTCCATTGCCTTTGGTATTTATTAAAGGTGTCAGTAACCAAGCTCACAGAGTATCCTCTGCAGCCCCAGCTGAAGAGAGGCCCTGGCTGTGCTCAGGGTGTCTCTCACTGGCATTTCCAGCCCCACATGGTGCTGTGCTCTCTTCATCCTGTGCTGTTGGTTTTGTTCTGTCCTCGTGGCTGCGTGGCCTGGATCCCTTTTGGAGAGAAGGGTTGGGGCAGGTGTTCCTGGTGACCTGCTGAGGGTGTTTCCCTGCAGTCAGGAGGTCTCAGCTGGCCCAGGACTGTCTGATGGCAGCAGTTTTGTACTTCAGACACATCTCCTAGCGAGCTGGGGCTGTTTGACAAGGGGAACATCAAACCCTGGATGGCACTTGCTGTTGTTGCAGCAGTCTTCACTGACCAGGTTTTTAACATGGTTTTCCGATCCTCATTCTGTTTAAACTGCTTGTTTCTGTAATAATAGTAAAAATCCAGTCCTGTGAATCCTGGTTAACTTTTTTGCTATGCAAATGCAGCTTCTGTTCCTCCTACCTCTTGCTAGCAAGAAGCATCATGATCCCTGACATGTTTCAACAGTATCTGAGGGATTTTAATTCTGTATAAACTGTTAATACAGCTGTTGTGCTGTTCAGTTGCTTTTTACATTAATGCTAGAATCATAGAATCATTACCCTCTAGAATACAGAAGTTAATGTTGCAATAATTAATATTCTTAGTTAGAATGGAATGGGGGGTTTAAGTCTAGATAAGCCTGGGATTACAGCAAGAGAATAGAAGTTTTAAATGCCTAATTCCTGCTGAGTTTTCTGAACTCATGGTTTGATCTCCCTTGCCTAGAACTAGTTTTACACCCAGCACTAATCCTGTTATGGATGATCACTGCTGTAAAATAAACTACATCCATAGCATTGAGTTTTGAACTGATACTTCAAATATCTAATCCAGGCATAGGATTTGAACATGTATTGTAGCAGTTGTGTGCCAGAGTCCTCGACAAACCCTGTCTGCTTGTCCAGGCGCTCCAGATGGATGTGATGGGGTCACATTGTAATCTTGTCCTGTGTTTCACTGCAGGCTGGTTACTTCAGATGTGGCTTTTTACACTGGAAACCTTCAAGCTCTGAAAGGCCTTAACAACTTAGATCTAAACATGGCTGAAATCTGGGAGCAGAAGAGGTGATAATCCATTGGGAGCAGTCACTTGGCTCTGACAACAGACTGACTCTTCTAAGCAGCGTGACATGGTGAGGTGAATGCTTGAGCCCAGAGCCCCAGGAAGGGCAGGATTGAGTCGGGGGAGCTTAGACTCAGAGGGAGCTGCAGGGAGAGATCCTTCCGGTGTCCTTCAGCAAGAAACAAGTGATCAGCTGTCTGTGCAATGTTTTTTCATTCTCTCTGGAAACAGACTCAGGTTTCTTTGGACCAAATCCAAAAGAACACATAGCTGTAACACAGCTGTAGTTGTCTAGAATGCTCTGTATATCTTTATATTAAAAAGATGCTTTGCATTTCTTCTAGTGCAATGAAATTCACATGGTGTCCCACCTTATTTAATGATGGTACAATATAAAAATCTTGCAGTTGGAACTCTGTAGAAAATGTTTTTCTCTATGAAACTATGCTGTTCTAAAATTTATTTTTTTACAGAACTTTATATAAATAAATGTCTTTTGATTGCTCGCATATAGGATTCAGCTTTGTTAGGGAGCAGTCCTGTTCCAGGGGATTTCTCAGGGCCTAAAATCTGAAGACAAGATTTTCTAAGCAAGGGCCAGTTCCTCAAAGCTGTTCCTGTGGGGGAGAGGAGTGACCTGACCCTGGTTGGCAGTGACAGGGTAGCAGTGGGGGAACTGGGAGGTGGGAAAAAAGCTGGTGGAAGGATGGCCACCTCCAGCTGCCCAGCGCCTCTGCCAGAGGGGAGGGACAGGGACACAAAGAATGGGCAGGAAGAATTTTAAAGTTTTTAGGCTGCTTATAAAAGGCTGCACCATTAAGAAGAGTGCAGCTGAAATCCATCTCTTTTGGAGTTTTTAATCCTACCTTTGACAGACTGGAGGCTGCCAGTGCTCAGTACAAGTGCCTGTGATTCTCACCTCACCCCTCTGTACCTGACCCCCGTCGAGTGCCTAACCCTGAGATGATCATGTCTGATGGAATGGTCTCTGCTGCAGTGTGTGTGTGCCTGTGGTGCCCTCAGCCAGGCATGCTGACCTGGTAGCATAACACGTGTCATTCATTGTCAGTCAAAATAAAGCTCTAAAATCACAGTTGTTTTTAAAGACCAACTTCTTTAATGATACATACCAGTGTTATACTAAGCTTATAAAATAAAGTTGTCTGCATGTAAATACAAGAGAAACATTAAGAAATCAATAGTGATCAGGACAGGGATTTCGATTCCTGTACAAATTTAGAAACTCAAGAGAAGATAAATTAACATACATGGCTGTGACAATATGAACATAGGTGTAGTCAACGTGATCCATTTATTGAAAAAAGAGGGCAGATCGAAGATTAAGATATTGACAGGAGATCCAGTCTTAAATGGGATGTGAAAAAGCAAACACCACACGTGGCTACTGAGGCATTTTTCTCAAGTATTGGATTCTTTGGGCAAGTTTGGAACACGGATGATTCCCACTCTCACGATACGGAAATGGAGGTATTGACAGCCTTACCCCAGTACCTCGCCGTACAACTGGGATAGGACATCCCACTTGTACTTTGGGGGGGTTGAAGAGGGCTACAGCTTGTGAGCACATGAAATACAGGGTTTTAAGAGCCTGTTTAGCAGTAGTGAAACTTTTGGTTTTCAACTGTGCCTTCCTAAAATGTCACAGGAGTTGCCAACCATGTTGTCCCTCCTGTATTGCTTCACAGCTTTATTTCTGCAGTTACAAGCAATTCAAAACTACTGAATGGTCGAGGGCGAGCCTCTGAACTTCTTATCAAAGAGGATCTGTCCATCTTCCCGCAAGACAAACAGTATTGCACTTCAAGGTTGTATTAACTGAGTTACAGAATCTCTTTAAGGACTGAAGCATTACTTACGCACATCCATGGCGCTTATGTGGCTGCTTAAAGATAAGCAAGAGAAATTAATTTTAAATTAATACTGCAGGGTACTGTGAAGATGACAAAGCATAGGCCCTCTGTGTACTTAGATTTCTAATGCTTAAAAGGTTCTTCCACGACAAGGCTGGTTGGGCACAGCAGCCCCAGCCCTGACCGTGCCCTCTCCTGGACTCAGTGGTCCAGGATCCGCAGGTTGCCAGACACGATTTTGTTCTCTAGTAGAGCTCCAGCTGGGATGTCAATCCTGTCACCATGGTTTGCAATGATGATGACTGTTCCCTGGGGAGACAGAAAAGAAACAAGGGTTCAGAAACCTGTTACCTGTTGACGTGGAAGGAGGGCAGAGGTTGTCTGGAGGAGCAGTCAAGTGTCAGCTGTACCACACTCAGAGCCTGAATGCATTTAGTTGTATTGTTTCTGCATACACATTTGGGGGTCTTTTTCCCCCAAAACAAAGGTTTTAAACAAGCATTACTGGAACCTCTCTAATTTTACTATGCTAGAGCCCATTGGCCTACAAGCAGAACTGGTAACTTAGTTGAAGACGTGGTTACTTTAAGGGCTCTTGTCTGCTTGCTTTGAAGTGGAAAAATGTTTCCCCCACCCCAGGTGTGTCCCAGGAAGGCTCCTATTCCAGCTGAACAGCAAATGTGGGGACAGAGGGACAGCTCAGAGCCCACAGCCTGATCCTGTGCCAGGTGATGCAGCACCATCTTTCACCCCTGGCAGCTGCCAAACTGCCCTAGAGAACTGCAGCTGCTGCCAGGACTATCAAGATCCTAAGGAAGAATTTGAGAGAAACTTGCTCAGCTCCAACATTTACTAATAAATAGAGAACCCCAAAGTGCTGCAAAAGGGCCTGAAAAGGGGTGGTAAGGCCAGCCTGGGAAGGGAGTTGGGACTGAGCCAAAGGGCAGAGGTGGCAGCAGTGTGTGAACAGAGATGTGACGTCTGTGGTGCTTTCAAGGTTCATAAATAAACCTCCTCTCAGCCTGAGCCTGCATGGAGCAGCAGCTCTGGCAGCAACATCCTGCACCCCATCACAAGGGTCACTGTCCGGCCATGGCCTCTGCCACCTTTGGGCCTGTTACCCAACTCCCAGGAGTGCTCCTGTGGACTGTGTGTACAGGCACTGCCTCAGAATCAATTGCCAAGGAGCAGAGATCAGTCAGGATTATTGCAGCAGCATCCCCACTGCACACTCACCTTTAATGAAACATTCTTCCCAAATGTAACATCACCTGAAACCGTGAGATGATCCAGCTCCAGCATATCTGGAATACTTTCAAACCTCCGCAGGTAATCTTGAACCTTTTGGAAAGAGAAAATAAATAAGCAGTATTAAAGTCATCTCTGGATTAAGACAGGCATGGGAGAAGCCTCTTGAATACTCTTCAGGAACCTTCCCATAACCTACATCTGCATCAATATAAAAGTTGCCACTTTGTAATTGTGATTTCTTTTAGAAACAAGTGTGAGAACAGTAGAACACAGAATGCATGTGGAGCACCGAGCGTGCACAGCCAGGATCTGAATTCTCACAGCCTTCACAAAGGGCAAAAGGGAAGGCCCAGGTGGAGAGAGGTAGATAAAGCAAACCTCACTTTTCACTCAGTTATTGCTATGAGCAGTGTCTTCATTCAGAGCTGAGCACCAGGTGTTTACCTTTGTGAAGGAGCTTCCCAGTTTGACAAGAGGCACTGTTGGGAATTCACGCTTCTCGCTCATGGTTAGAGACCCCGCGTTAAGGCTGTACAAATTGGACATCACGAGCAAGAGATCCGAGGTGGTCTTCACAGGCAGGAAACGACTACGAGGGACGTTTATCCCCAGAGAGTTCTCAAAACTCTTGATAGCAGCACCAACTGCGGTCTCCAGCTGGATAACGTTCAAGCCTCCATCCAGAGTCTGGAAGAGAAAACTCACATGAAGAGCAGGTTCTGGCACTGAGAGCTGCAGCCCGACGCCCCCAGCCTGGCTCTGTGAGGCAGCAGTGCCAGTTACCCACCCAGAAACTAAAGGTTTGTTTGGGTCAGTGTTCTCTAAACCCTTGCCAGCTGATTACCTTTGGGTTAACAATGATCTCCATGTCAATGGCGTTCTTCTCTTGCAGCCTTTTAATTGCAGACAGAGCTATCCACAAATTGTTGGTATTGAATATTTTGAACTTCGACACAGACTTGAATTCATCCACGTGTGCTTTAGGGACCTGAGCTATCTCCACCAGCCTCAGCTTGTTCTCATACTGCGTCAGCGTGCCACCCTGCAAGGGGCAAGTGAGAGGGTTTAAGTCCTGTTCATGAGAAGCCAGAGAAATCTTCCCCTCAGCACAGGCAGATGCACTGCTCTGTTGGCATTTGATGTTGAACCCCAGAGAAAACACACATCTTGTTTTTAGTAACCAGCTACCAGGTTACTAATTATAGAGCATGTTTAAAGTACAGTCAGGACTGCCCAACAATCATTTCAGCATTCCAAGATCTTTAATTCCTTTAACAAAGGTTGTTGAGAATATTTTGCAAATGCTGCTGTTGTCAAAAGTCACCCTCAGCAGTACTTTGTCAGATGATGGAGCAAAAGGTAAATTAAATCTAAGTATTCTTACAGTGCATTGTTGTGCTTTTATAGGGTTAAGTCAGAGCTTCCCAAATGAATACAGAGAAAATCCAAATCTTGTTCTCACATACAAAAGAAGAGAGGCAGAGCACAGTAGCAGGACAAATTACTGCAGGCTACAAGTACTTGATACATGCCATAAACCTCTGAGAAATGCCACTCCTGGACTGGGTACAAAGCCAGGGGCTAGGGCAGGAGCAGGTGGGCAGCTGTGCCACACAGAGCTGTGCCATGCAGGGTTGGAAGTGGCTCAGGCAGTTTTCTGTGAGACAACTGCTGCATCCCAGCCCTCAATGCTGTTTTCAAGCTTCCAGCTTCTGCCCCCAGTGTATGTGACAGTTTGGAGAAGGTGCAGAGGTTGTGACCTGCACCCTGCACATCCCTTGTGCTTCCAGGCCAGCCCAGGCTGTCCTCATCTGCTGCTGCCCAGAGCACAGATCAAATCTGTTCCATGAATTACAACTTCCTAAACTTGCTGATTTTGTGCATCTCAAATTAGATCTGAGCTGATGTGTTAAATGGTGCCTAAAATAGCTATGAGGAGACTGGGTGTATGCCTGAATCCATGGATTCAGAGGAGGCTGGAGATGGCCACCAACACACTCAGACTCTCACCCATCTCCCTTTACCTTCACATCCGCCCGGGTTTTGTTTGTGACTTCCATGACAAATTCACAGCGTTTTCCATTGGGTGGGTTCATGAGGTGGTTAAGAATGTAAAGGTCCACAGTGGCACCCAAATTATCTATATTGGACACAAAAATATATTCCTTCCCCTCTGCAATGAGGTTGTCCAGCAGCCCAGAGTTGTAGAAGCTGGCGTAGATGTCTCCATGGCCTGGAGGGTACCAGCACTCCGTGTTCTCTCCTGAGTAAGAGACATCCTTGGCTATTGGCAGCAGAGTTTCCTTGTTAATTCTGGGGTACCTGTGAGGACAATGGGTCTTGTTACATCCTCACCAGCATCAGAATAGCATAAAATAAAAATATTACAATTAAGGTGCAGCTCCCTGGGCTTCTGGAGGTGTGCTTTTCCTGAGTATCTGAACTGAATGACCCTCCCACATTCTGAGCTGTCGCTGAGAAGCTACAGAATGCAATCTACTCAAGGATGTAAAGGCACAGTTCTCAGGCCACACTGCAAACCAGCTTTCCTCTGACAGGCAGGTCCAGAGCATATCAAACACCCCTCTGACCCCAACAGCCACCTGGACTAGAGTTTGTTCTCCATAAGGAGAACAACTCCAGAGCCCAAGGATACTAACAGCAAATTCAGGAATCAAGGGGCCAGCAGCCAGTACACCACTATTTGTACATTTCTTGGGAACTGGGGCCCACACACCCCCTCTCCCCAGCTTTAATACATTGCCCTTGACTCTGCCCAACCCCCTGGGTTCAGTCTCAGCACGAGGCCCAAAAGAGACTGAACACAGGTACAGAAGACACCTCAAATTCAATCCACCCCATCTGGACTGTGGAGAAGCAAGCTGTTTTCTTCTACCCCAAGTGGAGAAGTCTTTTGATACCTGCTTTGATTAAAAGTATATATCTTCACACGGCTGTGACTGTATTTCTG